ACACAGGGAGTGACCTGAAAAATGATAACAGAGCTTGAGGGTAGCGAAGAAGATGAAGATGGAAGACGTGATAAAGGAGTTAATGTTGTTGTATTTAAGAAGGTGGTGCTTTCAATTGACTGATGATACATGGGAGCAAAAATGTCAAATGTGGCATTACAAAAGAGCTCAAGTGCATAATTTCGGCGGTAACGTGGCATAAATGAAACACCTTCGGTGTGTGTTGTAGCAGCACCAGTATGGAAACAGACTAATTCCAGAGAATACATTTAAGAAAGCATTTGATATTAATATTTTTCATTGCTCATGATCACTATGAACTTCATAACCAAGAATGTGGTAGTAGCTCTGACTGAGGACACAGAAGTCATTTATGAAAATATAGGCCTTTACACAACTTGAAGAGTTTTGCAACCTAAAATTGCATACAAATTACACCATAGAGGTATTTTTTTAATTCTAAATGTATAAATAAATGTAGACATAACAAGCAAAAACTATAAACTGAAGCACATAAGTGAGAGTTGTATAAAGTAGTGTCACTGTATATCAGGAAAGTACTCCAATTATCAGTGTGTTTACAGGTTGTTTTGATGTCTTGTGAAAAACGTTTTTCGGGGAAATTAGGTTACAGTGAGGATACCCTTCTTTTTTCCTCATACCTGCAGAGTATTGATTGAACCCAAATTGTTTCATTGTGTTCGAGCCATTTTGGCGACACCTTTGTTTAGAAGCTGCCTGCTGTACAAAATGGGGAAGGATAAAGCAAGCCCCATCATTCATTCCCCCAGAGCCTTTCATCCACCACCAACGCCATTAACCCCTATCAGAGTAGTTTATTGATTTGTAATTTAATGGCTATTATGTTTTATACTTTGATTTCTTAGATGAGAATGATGTCAGGGGTTATGATGAGTCTCACAGCTGTGCTCTCAGGTTAAAGGAATCAAAATCCCCTTTTCTTTTAGTGCTTTCCTATAGAATTTTCAATTTTCCCCCTATTTTTGCATGTTGTTTGTCGTTATTCTGCTTTCATTAAGATTTTTTCTTTTGCTGCTCCGTTTTTTTTCCTCAACACTGTGCTCCAATTATTAAAGTAATGTATGAGACAATACATGCTGTTTGAAGATATCCATCCATCCATTATCTATACATGACTTAATCCTTGCTGGGGGGGGGGCTGGAGCCTATCCCAGCTGAGCAAAGGCAGGGGACAGACAACCTGGACAGGTCGCCAGTCTGTCACAGGGCTACACTTAGAGACAGACAACTTCACACCTACGGATAATTTAGAATCACCAATTAACCTCAACATGTTTTTGGGCTGGGGAGGAAGCCGGAGAGAACCCACGCTGCACAGGGTTCTACAAACTGCAAAACTCCACGCAGCAAGATCTTGGTCCTCCTTACCCATCACGCCAACCAGTTATCTTCTAGCTGCAAAGCTGAAAGGCAACGCCACCTTGTACCCGAAATGTCCAAATGTTGATTTATGCGTTAAAAAACATTTCATGAGTGAAATAAGCTGTCAATGCCAAGTCTTAGTATTGCCATGTTGAAACTGCAATATACCAATGACTTTTTAAAAACAAGCATTCAGACCTTTATGTTTTTATAAGCAACTAACCAGAGGGCTGTACTACAAAGTGAGATTAGTGGACTAGCGAGGTATGTAGAGCTTAAAGCCAGAGTTTTCAGTATCACAAAGGTGGCTCTCTTTTCATCAGGCTAGATTGTCATGGTAACTTATGCTGTGGAGCAAACCTGGTCGGAAGCAGGTTATGTTCAGAGTTTGGGATTTAAATCGGCTGGAAAGAGCATCTCCCTTTAACCAGATCGTTTCCTGACTATTATTCATGAGCGATGCAGATTCTCAGCTGAGGGAATATATTTTATCTGCAAACATGCTGCATTGTGCGTTACTAATATCACTGAATGAAGCCGTGTACAACCCCTGGCAAAAATTATGGAATCACCAGTCTTGGAGGATGTTCATTCAGTTGTTTAATTTTGTAGAAAAAAAGCAGATCACAGACATGCCACAAAACTAAAGTCATTTAAAATGGCAACTTTCTGGTGATAAGAAACCAAAGAAATCAAGAAAAAAAATTGTGGTCGTCATTACCAATTGCTTTTTTAGATCAAGCAGGGGGAAACAATTATGGAATCACTCAATTTTGAAAAAAAAAATGGGGTCATGAAAAACAAACAAACAAAAAAAACCACTACAACACACCACTAGTACTTTGTTGCAACACCTCTGGCTTTTATAACAGCTTGCAGCCTCTGAGGCATGGACTTAATGAGTGACAAACAGTACTGTTCATCAATCTGGTTCCAACTTTCTCTGACTGCTGTTGCCAGATCAGCTTTGCAGGTTGGAGCCTTGTGATGAACCATTTTCTTCAATTTCCACCACAGATTTTCAATTGGATTGAGATCCGGACTATTTGCAGGCCATGACATTGACCTTACGTGTCTTTCTTCAAGGAAAGTTTTCACAGTTTTTGCTCTATGGCAAGATGCATTATCATCTTGAAAAATGATGTCGTCATCCCCCAAAATCCTTCTATTGATGGAATAAGAAAAGTGTCAAAAATTTCAATGTAAACTTGTGCATTTATTGAAGATGTGATGACTGCCATCTCCCCAGAGCCTTTACCTGACATGCAGCCCCATATCATCAATGACTGTGGAAATGTGCATGTTTTCTTCAGGCAGTCGTCCTCAGAAATCTCATGGGAACGGCACCAAACAAAAGTTCCAGCATCATCACCTTGCCCAATGCAGATTTGTGATTCATCACTGAATATGACATTCATCTAGCCATCCACCGTCCAGGATTGCTTTTCCTTAGCCCACTGTAACCTTGTTTTTTTTCTGTTTAGGTGTTAATGATGGCTTTCGTTTAGCTTTTCTCTATGTAAATCCCAATTCCTTTAGGCGGTGTCTTACAGTTCCTCATTTGTTCCTCATTTGTCTTGCTGTGCATTTCTGTTTTCAAGACATATTGCTTTACATTTTCTGTCTTGACACTTTGATGTCTTCCTTGGTCTACCAGTATGCTTGCCTTTTACAATCTTCCCATGTGGTTTGTACTTGGTCCAGATTTTAGACACAGCTGACTGTGAACAACCAACATCTTCTGCAACAATCCGTTATGATTTACCTTCTTTAAGAAGTTTGACAATCCTCTCCTTTGTTTCAACTGAAATCTCTCGTGTTGGAGCCATGATTCATGTCAGTCCACTTGGTGCAGCAGCTCTCCAAGGTGTGAGCACTCCTATTTAACTGCAGACTAATGAGCAGATGTAATCTGATGCAGGTGTTAGGTTTGGAAATGGAAATATACAGGATGATTCCATAATTTTTTCCCCAGAATTGAGTGATTCCATACTTTTTTCCCCCTGCTTGATCTAAAAAAGCAATTGGTATTGATTACCACATTTTTTTTCTTGATTTCTTTTAGTGTTTCTTAAAGCCAGAAAGTTGCCATTTTAAATGACTTTAGTTTTGTGGCATGTCTGTGATCTGCTTTTTTCCTACAAAATTAAACAACTGGATGAACATCCTTCAAGACTGGCATAATTTTTGTCAGGGGTTGTAGTTACAATATCGCACGCTGTCGGCAGAGATCGAGCGCGCCACACAGGCAGTACTTGGCTGCTAATGCCAGTTTTTTGTTGGTGGTCACAGTTAAAAGGACAATATGGGGAATCCAGGCTGGAAGTAGGGTGGGTATCGATGGCAGGAGAAAGCTGGCTGGGAGAGTCCAGGCTGGAAGCAGGTTGGGGATCGGCAGAAACATGGGGAAGACAGTTTATGGTATGGCAGTGTGTGGAGGAATGAGTTGGTTCTTAAAGGAGCGGTTGCAATTGGGCTCAGATGAGCTGATTGCCACAGTTGCCTCCAATACCTGTAATCAGGCAGGCTGAGCAGGGCTGGAGTGACAGAGACAGAGAAAGAGAGGGAGAGGGAGACAGGCGAGGGCTGGTCCTGAGGCTCAGGCTGGGGGGTCGTGACACTAAACCATTTCAACATAGGAAGGGATTAAATTTATTGTGGGGAAAAAAGTATATAGCCTTGATTCACAGATATTCATTTTTTATAGTTTTAATGAAAGAACGGAGAGAGGCGTTAAAAGAAATGATGCATTATTAAACGTATTTTCCCTGTAGAAGCAATTTATTACACTACTCATCACTTTCCCAGTGTATTACTCTGCAACACCTGGCATGCAAAGATCTTATGCATATTCTCATTATTGGGAGAGGAATTTATTCTCATATGTGGGCATATGTAAGGTGTAATTTTATATTGTTAACTAGCAATTATGTGACAACATGCACAAGATCTTTCTTTTATGCTCTGTAATACAATGCTACCACAAAGCCAACAGCAAAATTGGTGTTATGGTGAGACTTTATTGCATGTCTCAGAAAATTGCTGTAGGCTGGGCTGCAAGGTGGATCAGTGGTTAGCACTGTTGCCTCGCAACAAGAAGGTCGCCGGTTCGCGTCCCGGTGAGGACACCGGGATCTTTCTGTGTGGAGTTTACATGTTTTCTCCAGATTCTCTGGCTTCCTCCCACAAGGTCCAAAAACATGTTGAGGTTAATTGGTGATTCTAAATTGTCCGTAGGTGTGAGTGTGCTTGGTTGTCTGTCTCTAAGTGTAGCCCTGTGATAGACTGGTGACCTGTCCAGGGTATCCCCTGCCTTTGCCCTAAGTCAGCTGGAATAGGATCCAGCCCCCATGCGACCCTAGTGAGGATTAAGCGGTGTATAGATAATGGATGGATGGCTGTACTGAATAAGAAGTAAAAGCTGTAATTGTGATTATTGGATTTAGAAACAATAATGTGTTATTGCATTATTGATACATGTATTGGGATTACAGCAATATGTTACCTCTGATGCCTCTCATCTCTCTCCCTCTACCTATCTTCCTCCATGTTTACTCACTTGTTTCACTCCTTGTGTCGCTCCTCTCCTCCCACAGGCTCACCTCATGGCGTTGGAGGTGGAGCTGTCCCGTATCCAGGAAGTGAGCAGCCACCAAAGAAAACGTATCGCTGAGATCCTTAACGGGCTCATGAGGGACCTGAGTGAGTTCAGTACCATTGTTGGAAACAGGGACATCAAGCTGGTGAGTGGTACAGAAAATCAGAATCAGAACCAGAAATACTTTATTGATCCCTGAGGGACACTGCATTCCCTTTCCAAATATGTTGCCGGTTTCTGTTTCTGCGACAAAGTTGGATGCACTTGTATAAAATACTTGATGTCTATGATGAAAGACTGGAAGAATATTTGAATCCCTGCGTCTCCCTAGCATCAGAGCACAAAAATGCATGTGCATTATGAGTGAATAAAATATTAAAACTTGAGACAGATTGGAGGATTCAAAATGTCTACACTCATTTCTCACCAATTTAGGTTGAGAATTTGGCATCTATGTACATTTATTTGTCTTGATGAGCATTTAAAATTAATGTCTGTGTGTTTTCTCGCTGCGTTCACGATGATGCTCAAACTGAAAAGCTATATATTACACAACATCATTCACTGTTATGAATTGCTCTAGACAATGATGTATTCCATACAACCCCCAAGGATAATTTATAGGCCTATCCGCTGTCATCTGTAATGTTTCAACTGATGTATATATTTCATCCTCCACAGTTCATTTAAGAGCATCTGAGTCACAGCATCTGCTAAATGATGCCGGTAATGGCTGTGTGAATGAATGCCAGAAAGTGTTTTTTAAGATTCCTCTCTGCCTACCTCTGTAGTTCCCTTGCTGTCTTTAAATTGTATCTGCTACAACTTTTTTAACACTTTCTTTTTCCTCTATGCCTCATTCACCTACAGCCCATGGAGATCACCGGTGCAATCGAGGAAGAATTCACAGTGGCTCGCCTCTATATCAGTAAAATAAAGTCAGAGGTGAAGTCCATGGTGAAGCGCTGCCGCCACCTGGAAAACCTTCAAATGGAGTGTCACCGCAAGATGGAGGAGACGGGCAGAGAGCTGTCCTCATGCCATCTCCTCATCTCACAGGTAAAAATACAAAGATGGTGGAAGGGATGACAAGGCTGTTGTTGGTCATAATATATAGAGAGGGAGGAGTGATGGATGTACTAGAGAAATGAAAAATAACTGGTGTAGAGAGATGTTTTAAAATCTGTTTCTGTAGAGGGAAATGCTGCTGTTATTGTGAGAAAATCAGGACAATAGACACTGAAACCTCCCAGTGCAAAATATAATTCATCACCACAAATGACTGAGTGACATATCAAGTGCACTTCTCTTCATCAGTCTAATTGCCATCACATACAGTTGCGGAGTCCTTTGTGTGATGTTAATTACTCTGATGAAGAGCTGTGAGCTGAAAACATCATTCATCTGTTTGTGGAAAAAGCACATTTTTGGCATAAAAAACTTTCAGTGTGAAAACTGTCCTGAGCCTTAAAAAATGACATGATTTATATTCTGTGTGTTGGTGGGGTTGCCCGAAGCTATCACAATGTACATTTTTACTATCTTTGGTATTTAAACTAAATTCTCTTTTGAATAGAAATCATAAATATTCAATGTAAACCATATTCATTCAACAAAAAGAAAAAGCACCTTTTGTCCTTGGTGCAAAGTGTTCTCTTGGGTAGAGGTCTTTGCTCATCAGTAAACTTTATGCGTCTGAGATCTGTGTTCTGACTTTCAGCACGAGGCAAAGATCCGCTCTCTCACGGAGTACATGCAGAACGTGGAATTAAAGAAGAGACAGCTGGAGGACAGCTATGATTCTCTGACTGAGGAACTGGCCAAACTCCAAGCTCAAGGTAGAATTATTCTAGTCATTATAGTAAAAACTGAAGCTTAGTGGTAGCTCCATCTATGTATTATGAATACCAAAACAGAGATAGGCAGTAAACAAACCAATTCAGAGTCCACAGCCATTCTTGCAGGTCTGTGTGGCTAAATTTAGGCACCATGCAGCATAAATGACTGCTAATGTTGGCATTCTAACTTGTGAGCATCATAGCATGCCGATATTAAACATTTTTAGTTTCAATTTTAGGGCAAATATTTGGCAACAGTGGGAAAAGAGCTCTGACAGAACCAGGCTCAGGCAAGGTAGCCACCTGCCTCAACCAGCTGGGGTGAGAGAAGAGCAGAAAGAGAAAAAGACAGTAGTGAGAAACAGACCCTTGGCAGGTTGGTGGGGTCAGTAACCACAGATCAGCTCCAGAGCCACAGATGCCTCCAGAGATGACAAAACACAAACTATGCGAGAGAAAAGACACGAAGTTAAAAGAATGCAATAATTTATAATAATGCTTCATATATGCATGAAGAGTGAAAGAGGGTTGAGTAAAGTAGATGTGCTCAGTGCATTATTGAAAGTCTTTTAGCAGCAAAACTAAGGGATAGTTCAGGGTCACTCAAGCCATAAATACACGCATTTTCAAAAAAAATAATATAATAAAGTCTAACCTTGAAAGTAGAGAAGGTGTTCACCTCCCAAACCCATTTTCACCATCTTAGTGTTGCATATAAGCATTTTGTAGCTGTTTAATTGTAAACCAAAGTACTTGACACATTTTAAAACCTGCTGATGGCGCTAAAGGAGAAGTGAAGGAATCAGGAAAGTTAATACAAATTATCCTTTATATTTTCTGACTCATTTCACTATTTCTGCCATATCTGTTTTTGACGTTGTGATTTATTGTCTATTGTTTTTAAGGATTTAATTGTTTTCAATTTTTATAGTGTCTTACGGTTAATGCCAGCCTTGTAGAACAGTCACTTTGCATTTCACTTCACATACTGTATATACAAATCCTTTAGTCTTGCAACAACCAATGTTGTGGTGGTACAAGGGGAGAAGTCCAGGGATCAAAAAAGTCCTGCAATACATCATCAGGGCGCCATGAAAACCTGTACTAAATTTAGCTCCAGCTTGGAAAAAATTAAGTTTTCATGGGATATGTGAAAAACTTGACCTGCTAGTGGTTGGTAAAGGAAAAGTCAGGGGAGCATGATTTCATCCACAGATGGAGGATATCTTTGATTATCTATTGACAATCAAAATATAATCAATAGACAATATAAACAATGTTTTCTTTTAGTCTGGATCAAATCAGTGGACCAGCTAACCGACTAACCTCCACCATGCAGTTACTGTGACTAAAAATACAACAGTGGTAGTTGATGTTTTGCAGTGATGTACAGTATCCTGCTCAAAATCCCTTTTTGCTGAAGGTTGAGTATTCACCATAACTATAAAAATATATGAATCTAGCTGTTGAGGTGAAATGTTACGATGTAGCCAGACACTTAGTTCAGGGTTCTATATGGCATAAACAGTAAGTGCCGTACATAAAACATACAGGTACTACTTTTGTAATAAAGTGTTTTTGCCTCAAGCTCAGGTTGAGATGTTATTTCTACGTGAGCGAAATGCCAATGCAGGAGTAAAGATTTTAACATTTATTCAGACTCTAAGGTGAAGGAAGAAAATTTCAATATGGTCTGACAGGCACGACAGCAGATTTATGGTTGATAAGTCAGGCCAAATACAAGCCTCTGGAAGTAAATCCAATCAACACAGTCAGACAGTCAGCAAAATAGATCTTTGCTCAATATAAATCCAAATGAAACAAAGTTAAATGTAGCAAATTCCTCTAATAAACACATACTTTCAAGATGACTTTTTGCTGAAGGAATCAAAATTATGAATGATGGCTTCAGATGCTGTGTGACATTCGGGGGCTCGCTGAAGGACAATATTTAAATTGAAATGCCGAAGTCAAATATGAGGTCAATGTTGTGACACAGTCATACAAAATCATGTCTGGGAAAATAAATGATGAAAAGGCAACAAATCTGTCACAGCATTTTAGCTTCACAAGCTTTAACTGGGAGAAAGTGGCTACCCATTTAAAACAATTTTGTTGACTTTAATAGAGAGATTTATTCTGTGCCAGAGGCCTTTCTATCCTGTTGAGGAAATGAAAAAAAAAGGGTAAAAACTGACAAACAGCTCAGGCTCCCAAACATTTCACAACACCAGCAGAAATAATTAATAGTACATCTGAAATGTGTGCAAAGTCCAGCTGACTGCAAACATTCCTAACACACTGACACCGTTCGCGAAACAGGCCAAAGGCAATTTAAGTCACTCTTCCTGTTGAGTTCCGCAGAATTGCATTAAATAACCAGCGGATTTGAGGGCAGGTAAATCAATTTTGGCCCTGCTCTACACTTGGGCCAAGCAGTCCTCGAGTCATTACAGAAGTAGATAAATACAAGTGCTGCAGCTCCCGTTGATCACACAGCCTGGTGCGAAGCAGAGAGCTCTGTAATTTCATCTTCAGACACCAGGAACAGCAGTGAGTCCATATCACATCAGTGTGACACAATAGATGTCACTTGCAAATAGATATTATAATACCCAGGGCATGACTTAGATCACGCTGACCTCGCTGTCAACAGGAGTTTCTGGTACTGCTGTGATGTCAAAGTCAGGTCACTGTCACCTCTTTCATCCACATCAGTGTGTTGCTCTGTTTTATGTGTCAGTCTTTGTCCTCGTCTTCTTTCCTCCTTCCGCTTTTTATATTGGTTTCTTATTGTATTTGAATTGTATCTTATTATATTGTATTGTGTTTGTGTTGCAGAGAGCATGTCACAGGTGACCAGCGGGGAGAATCGCACGTCTGTCCAGAACGCCTCTGATATAAAGGTAACCATGGCGACAGTGACAGCAATTTAGTGTAATGACCTTTTATCACACTGCCTCAGCACTCAGCTTTGCATAAAGACTGAAACAGCAAGCCAGGCAATGAGCAAAAAGCGTAGAGTTTCATTTACTGCCCCCAGGAACAGTGTTGAAGTGAAACTTTTGATGCTCACTGGCCCAGAAAGCATATACAATCCAAGCCACGGGTTTTGCAAGTAAGTTAGTTGGTAGAAATTTGGTCAAATATGGGCTGATTACTAAAAAATTCCCCATGTGTGCATAATGAAAACTTCAACAACAAAGCCGTTAAAGCTGTATTTTCATACTGCACAACACACTCTTACTGATGGCATCAAACGATAAAGCAGATGCATTTTTCCGCTGCTTAACACGCAGCTGACAGTGTCTGTTGTCACGATCTGCTTGTAGTTGAGCACATGATGTGTGTCTGTTTCCGTGCTCCAGTTTTATTAGCTTATTCTCACATCGTTGTCAGTGGTAGCACATGACAGCAATCTGGTGCGTGTGTGTGTTCAATACCCATGTGGCTTCGCATGTCCACATGTGCACTGGTGTGTGTAATTTTTCCTTGTTATTTAGTCATTTTGTTTTCATGTTGTTCCCACCTCACTGTACTCTCTCTCTCTCTCTCTCTCTCTCTGTCCTCGCTCTCTGTCTCTCTCTGTATTTATGTCTGTCACACCCCCTTGGTGCTTGGACCTCAGAGGGCTCTGGAGCAGCAGATGGAGTCGCACCGTGAGGCACACAGCAAACAGCTTTTTCGCCTCCGAGACGAGATCAATGAGAAACAGAAGATCATTGATGATTTGACTGAGTCAGTATAATTGTAATTCATTTTGTGTGATACTAAATCGATGCTGAAAATCAGGATTCCATTCCAAGAGTATTTTAAAGTAGAGTAGTCAAATCAATAAGCATAAAAAACATAAAAATGTCATGGAAAAAGCATCTCTGAGACTGGACTGTGTGGCACCATACAATGCAGGTCACGCATGTTTCCAGAGGCAGACAACTTACCGAACACTCCCGTTTTTAAAAATGGCATAGAAATGCTCAAATGGGGGCTGCATGGTCAATTTTGTTGGCTTCAATGGAGGGATTTATTTTTTGCCAGAGGCCCTTCTATCCCGTTGAGAAAAAGAAAAATAAGAATAAACACAGATGAGCAGTTCAGGCTCCCAAACATTTACAGCACCAGCACAAATAGGTTAATGGAACATCTGAAATTTCTGCAACGTCCAGCTGACTGCAGATACTCTCAGCACACTGACAGTTCACCCACCTCAGAATACGGTGAAGAGGGAAAAAGCATATTTCTTTGTATCTTCAAGGCTGGACTGTGTGGCAACATATAATGCAAGTCATTCAGTTTCCACATACAACTTAGCAAACACTCCCATATAAAAAGTGGCATATAAATGCTCAAGGACACCAGAATGCATATTACTTAATGATGATGTTATTTTCTTGCACTGTCTATATTTTTGGATGCTGCTGTGGCGTGTAAATTCCCCAGGTCTGGGATAAATGAAGTATATTCTATTCTATTCTATTCTATTCTATTCTATTCTATTCTATTCTAAGTTGAGGATGTATAGTCTTCGTATTATGTTCTCAAAAGTCCTGCCATAGCTGCAAAAGTAGCTGAGATAAATGTGTGTGGGTGGTTTACATGTTGAAGAAACTTTAGTGTGGGAGGACTTAAGAACTGAGCCGCTGCTGAATCTCACTCTGAGGAGGCACTGCCCTGGTTTGGCCTGTGTTTTAATGATGTACTGTACCAAGCATGACCATCTGGGAGGAGACCACTGGACAGACCCTCTCCGGGGAATAAAGTACATTTCCCAGCTGGCATGGGAGTGTCTGTTAACACCCAAGGAGCAGCTGCAGAGAATTTCAGTGTGAAAAGACATTTGGGGCTGCTCTGCTTATCCTGCTTGCACAGACTGATTTGGATAAGCAGCTTGAAAAGGGATGGATGGATGGATGGATGTCAGTGAGGTAGAACGCATGTGAAATAGGAGCAGGGATTCCTTTCAGATCCTTCAAACAAAATAGGAAAAGTGGTTATACATTTAAAGTTACACTAAATTGCAAGGATAAGAAGCAAACAGGAAAATCCATTTAAAAATTGCTAAATGTAGCATACATACAGTAATGTGTACAGTTGTGCATCTTTTTTGGCAAGTGGCCATATTTTTTTTAAAAGGGTTGTGTGTCTGTGATCTAATGGGACACTTCAGTGATTCAAGTTTGACCTAATTACACACTTGAGCCACTCAGGTACCTCTGTGGTCTGGCAAAATGCCTGTCTGGCTAGTACAGCTCTGGTGTGAATTTAGGGCAAGAATAAATCCTAACCCTGCATGCAGAAATGATGCTTCTTCATCATTTTTGCTGCTGTGTGCGCCACTGAGCTCGAGCCTTATGCCTTAGACTCAAGACAGACAATTAGGCTGTAGCCTATGCCAGCTGACTTAGGGTGAAGGCAAGGGACACCCTGGACAGATTGTCAGTCTATCGCAGGGCCACACTTAGAGACAGACAACCAAGCACCTATGGATTTATACAATTTAGAATCACCAATTAATCTCAACATGTTTTTGGACCTTGTGGGAGGAAGCTGGAGAACCCAGGAGAGAACCCACGCTGCACTGGGAGAACATGTAAACTCCACGCAGAAAGATCCCGGGTGTCCTCACTGGGGCACGAACCAGCGACCTTCTTGCTGCGAGGCAACGGTGCTAACCACCGAGCACCTTGCAACCCCCTCTTGTTACAGTAAAACTTAAAAAAATCTCTCTGATATTCCCCAATATTTCTTGTAATATAGATGAATGGTGACATTCAGATGTGGACTTCATGTTACAGAAGCAGAAAGTCTCATCCATTTCTAGATTGTATTACACATTCTGTTTGCCATAATTTATCTTCTGCCACGACTCTTGGGGGACTTACAGCATGTGCTGACATTCCTCGAGATAAATTCTGGTATTTTTTAATAAAAATGAAACCCTGAGTGAGTCAGTTTTCACCTTTCTTTTCCAGTTGTAACCAGAAGCAACAGCTGGAGTTGGAGCAACTGCACAGTGACTTTGAACGTCTCCGAAGCCAGGAGCATCACAAGAGCCGGCAGCTGGAGGAACTGACGTGAGTCGCTAGTTTACTGTGCTGGCCAGCTTTCAAAGCTTCACCATATGGAGGCCTGGAGGCGAGCTGCCTCTTTTGATGCACATCTTCCATTTCTCTCTGTCATTTGTCTTCTTTTTGTCTATTTATTTTGCTCTCGCTCTGGAGCTGTGACTGTCATTCTTTTTTCAGTATGTGTCTGCGGGATAATACGCTCATATAGAATGTGGCCAAAATGAGCTCTTTTAACTCTTTCTATATCTGTTTCCATCATGGTCCCTTTCTTCCCTCTTTTTGCATCTCCATTATGGAATTCTGGAATAATGTAGCAGCTGGTTGCTAATAAGTCTCTTTCTTCACTGACCTTTGCAACATATTGCATCAGATGGCAGATGGGTAACAGCCCACAAGCAGGGCAGCCGGCCTATGCAGCCTTTGTTCTGTATTCATGAATTATTCTGGAAAATATGTGGTAATCATTTGGGTTTTGGGCATCAAGTGGGAAGTTCAGTTTGAATTTTCTGTCTATGTATCTATAGATTTCTTCATGAACGACATGAGCAGTCAAAGCAGGACCTCAAAGGGCTGGAAGAAACTGTTGTAAGTCATTATTTGCTGTCACAATTCACTTGGCTCCTTCAGAAACCACTGATCCACTAAATACTCTCAAACTGCTTTAACGGCACTATTTTCCTCTCGCTGCTTCTCTTCTCAAACTGTAGGCTCGTGAGCTCCACACCCTGCACAACCTCCGCAAGCTTTTTGTTCAAGACCTCACGACTCGAGTTAGGAAAGTAAGCCAAACATAAGCTTTAATTCACCACAGTAAGCTTTCAGTGTTTTATTTTTTATTCTTTTACACTACAATAAAAGATCCCTGTTTCTTTTGACAGAGTGCAGCGATGGAGCCTGATGATACTGGAGGATATATCACGCAGAAACAAAAGATCTCCTTTCTTGAAAACAACCTAGAACAGCTTACAAAAGTTCACAAACAGGTACAGATTATCGTCACATAAACAGAAAGCATTTTATCTGTCCACCGCTTCTTTATAAATTAAGACAAATGAACAAGGTTTCCTTCAGCCTGGAAGCCTAGCTCTGATTGTGCAGTGCTACAGCAGTAATTTAGCATTATCTTAGATGAATACCATAAGATACGAAAAGGGCGAAACAAATTAAAATACAGAGCAGTGTTCTCTGTTTGTCATCGCTCTCCTATGGGTAAAAGCAATGCTCGCACCATCAATCATCCCACCACAGCAACTTCACATGAAAATCTCCTCAAAAACAGAGCAGCAGGAGGTGTTAAACCGTGCTGTCTTCAGGGGAAAGGAAGCCACACAGCATAAAACTCTCAGTCAGATTTGATAAACACAAATGAATTCATCCTCATGCAGGTGCAAACAAACACTCATCTTTCTCCTCGTCTCTGGCTTACACACCAACTTTCAACTGCAACCTTGTGCTCATAAACATTATAAGTAAACACACACGCTTCACATCTTTCTTTAATATTCCTAAATGGACTTCAGCAGTGGACTCGGTGTTGATGTGCTAAACGTTCTGCACACTGGCACATACGCTCATGCTGGCAGATTGGTGAGAGCTGCACTGCAGCAGTTTGTCAGGCAGAAAACCAATTCTAAAGTGGCTGCTGGGAGACACCATCCCATCCACTGCCTGCTGATACTGTAGGAATGGAAGACGAAAGCCGTGGTCATAAATCAGCAAACTTCCAGTGGAAAGCGATAAGACAGGCAGTGGACAGTGTATCGGGCTTATGAGTTTCTCTGCCTCACAGATCTAATAATGTCTGTCTGTCCATCTATCGCTCAACAGTCGTGATTTCTCTTACATCAACTACCTCTTGTGGAAATTTTGCCTCCATTTTTTTTTTTTTTTTTTAAATGACTCACTACCAAATAATAAACTTGTACCTCCAAGCCTCAGGTGGATATAGTGAATTTGTGAATGCTGTGCTTGTTAGATAACTTTGCCTGGTTGCTAAAGCCTCCAGGTCTTACACTCGGTATCTCTGCAGGCTAAGGATTAGTTTGCATGATCACGTAGCAGCAGACTCTCAGTGTTTAAGGCACTCACTCATTGCGTTTCCCACTAACAGGAAACATGCTGTGTGCCGCAATTTCAAAATCAATAAATCTTTACATTCATTTTCCCTCATGGGTATAAACACAAACAAGTCTATTATGCAAAAACAGCCGTGCTGCATTTGACTTCACGTGCCACAGGATTTTTTTTTTGTCATATTGTTAGGTTAACATATGCTGAACTTAAGGACTGTTCCTCAGACTGTGTAGGAGGTATTTAATTAGTCAAAGAATGAATAGAAAGACTCTGTTTGTTCAGTCCACTCTTTCTTCTCCTAGAATATCTGAATTGATCTCACAAGTAAACAACAAAGCATTTAGACTGATGAAAGTTGTTTGTAACACTGTATCTTGATTTCTTAAAATTTAAGCTATTTTGACACTCTGCACTAACATTTGGTAGGTAAACAACATATTAATGATCATAATTACCTGCACTGACTTCCATATGAACAGGAGAGGCTTCATACTGTAGCAAGAAAAAAGTATCTGAACCAATTAAAATTAACAGATTTTCTGCAATAATTATTCAGAAAATCTTCAACAAGGTCACAAGTGACAAAGACAGTGTGCTTTAGCCAGTGACTCATGGCTATAATATTATATGCATCTTTACTGAACACGCTTATTATAGATTCATAGCAGTGGTGAAGAAACTGAGTGAACAGTAATCTAAAGCGAGGAGGCTGCTGATCAGATGTGCACAGCATTTCAAAGGAAATATACATTTAGTCTTTATAGAGCTACTTCAGCTCAGCTGTATTCTTAGGATGTGTTTCTCTTGAGGCCATTGCACAGTATATCTGTTGGGTTAAAGCTTGCCGACAGCCACCGTGACATTATCCTTCAAGACACATCGATATGCTTGGAAATTTATTTTCCCCTTGATGTTCAGGCCCAGACTGTGAAATTGTAACTTTATTTTAGGATTCATTCATAAAAGGGAGATAATTCTAAATCACTTCACTTTTCTTTTCTAGCTGGCAGGCTGGTCCTGTGTGTGCTGATGTTTTTTCAGGGGAGCTACCCTTCAATTTGAGCGAGTTCGGCATTTTTCTTTAAGATAAAAGGCAGTATGGGCTGTCCTTTCCTTTGACAACTTTGAGGTTGTGTTTTGACGTTCCTCCGTTCCGCCTCACTGCACCTATTTGGCTTTAACTGACAAAGATGTTCCACTTCAAAACAAGGGGTTATGTGGTCACATTCATCCAGTGCTGTTTATACTCTGCAGTTTGGTCTCAGCAGGAAGAAGGGATCCCTCAACCTCCAAGACAGGAAGACGCTTTACCAGTGGAAGAGTATTATTAGCATATTCTGAATGATATAATAAAAATCACACAATCAAAACATCAATCCAAGGTTTCATATGTAGCAGTCTAAATAGCCTCATTTCTATCCCTGTCAGAAACATCGAAATGGATAAGTATAAATATAATTGGCTTTTTCTGTCAATATTACAGTTTTCTTTTGTGACTGGGAAAATGTATTATAAAGCCAGTGACATCTTTTGTCTCATGCTTGGTGTCTTGTATATCTGTTTTTATTTGTGCTGCAGCTGGTGCGTGACAATGCAGATCTTCGCTGTGAACTTCCAAAACTGGAGAAGCGTCTCCGGTCTACAGCTGAGCGAGTCAAGGCACTGGAGGGTGCGCTGAAGGAGGCCAAGGAAGGAGCCATGAAGGACCGCCGCCGCTACCAGCAGGAGGTGGAACGAATCAAAGATGTAATGAGGGCTCGCACTCCCTTCCGCCGGCCTCACGCCGCACAGATAGGTAACAAACTTATTATAGATTCAGACACAGAGCTTGACGTTAGATTGCATTTCTACATGTGTCACTTTTTCAAAGCTATGTACAAACTGGATAAAATCATGACAACACAGCAAGTGGTAAGTGTTTAGTGGCATCTATCTATCAAAATCTGACTTGCATGTATTTATATGATGTTTATGGACATTAACACTTTTCTTATAGTTGTTGCTGTTGAGTCCACAACCAAATTCCAAACACAGCCCTTTTTATGTCAACATGTCCTTCATTTCATTTCATAGACACATATAATAGTTGTTGTTTCTCATTTACTTAAGCACATTTTCTATGATGGCCCGTGGTCTGTAACTGTGCGGGCGGACCCGAACGAAAAGGGAGGCAGGAGAAAAGGTTAAAGAAACAGGTTTTATTTTGCAATGACGGGGAGTGGTGGACACCAGGAGGAGGAATCTGGTGCAGGGGTACCAGTCATGGTGCAGGGGTGCCAGTCATGGGGGGGTGCCAAAAGGAGGTTGTCGGTGCTGAAGTCTGTGTGGGAGGGTTCTGCCGAGGCTGTGCTAGGGAGGGAGTTCGTGGAGGAAGATCCCGGTGACGGTGCTCAGAGAAACAGTGCTCAGGGGACGGTGCTCATGAGTGGTTTTCCCCATGGAGGTTTCCAGGTGAAGGTGCTCGAGTGCCGATCCTTCTAGTGAAGGTGCTCGTGGCCGTGGATTCCCATCATGTGGGTTCGTGGATGAAAGGGCTGGCGTGCAGGGCGAATAGCTGTGTGCTGGAGCCGAGGAGGGATGCTGGAGGTACACAGAAATAAAACACGATTAACTCGAAAACTCGAAAAACAAACTGAGCAGAAGCTCAACGTGAGTGTAGCAGCTAAGCGGCCTGACTGTACCACGAGTGAGGTATCACAATCATCTGGCGCTGGGGCTCTGTGAGACGCTCGTATTTGAGAAACCCTGCTGATGAGTAGATGAGCCACAGCTGCCAGCGCGAGAGCGTCCTTCCCCGATCGGCTCCGCCCAGCCTGCAGAGAAAAGAAAGTACACCCACCAAAACACCAAGACAGGAGGCAGAGAAAAACCAAAACACAACATACTCTTCATAACCCTCACAATTTTCATGCAGTCACCACAGTAATTTATACTCTGGGACAAGTTCTGACTCATGTATTAAAATGAACTAAATTCATCAACCAGTACAGGTAAAGTAGCCGGTGTCATTGGTGCTGTCGATGTGTCTACTACAGTTTGGTTGCTTTATGTTTATGTTTATGTTGCTATATATTTTTCAGTTCAGCTAATTTGAGTTCAGACTCAACCATGATCCATCCATCCATCCATTATCNTTTCAAAGCTATGTACAAACTGGATAAAATCATGACAACACAGCAAGTGGTAAGTGTTTAGTGGCATCTATCTATCAAAATCTGACTTGCATGTATTTATATGATGTTTATGGACATTAACACTTTTCTTATAGTTGTTGCTGTTGAGTCCACAACCAAATTCCAAACACAGCCCTTTTTATGTCAACATGTCCTTCATTTCATTTCATAGACACATATAATAGTTGTTGTTTCTCATTTACTTAAGCACATTTTCTATGACGGCCCGTGGTCTGTAACTGTGCGGGCGGACCCGAACGAAAAGGGAGGCAGGAGAAAAGGTTAAAGAAACAGGTTTTATTTTGCAATGACGGGGAGTGGTGGACACCAGGAGGAGGAATCTAGTGCAGGGGTGCCAGTCATGGGGGGGTGCCAAAAGGAGGTTGTCGGTGCTGAAGTCTGTGTGGGAGGGTTCTGCCGAGGCTGTGCTAGGGAGGGAGTTCGTGGAGGAAGATCCCGGTGACGGTGCTCAGAGAAACAGTGCTCAGGGGACGGTGCTCATGAGTGGTTTTCCCCATGGAGGTTTCCAGGTGAAGGTGCTCGAGTGCCGATCCTTCTAGTGAAGGTGCTCGTGGCCGTGGATTCCCATCGTGTGGGTTCGTGGATGAAAGGGCTGGCGTGCAGGGCGAATAGCTGTGTGCTGGAGCCGAGGAGGGATGCTGGAGGTACACAGAAATAAAACACGATTAACTCGAAAACTCGAAAAACAAACTGAGCAGAAGCTCAACGTGAGTGTAGCAGCTAAGCGGCCTGACTGTACCACGAGTGAGGTATCACAATCATCTGGCGCTGGGGCTCTGTGAGACGCTCGTATTTGAGAAACCCTGCTGATGAGTAGATGAGCCACAGCTGCCAGCGCGAGAGCGTCCTTCCCCGATCGGCTCCGCCCAGCCTGCAGAGAAAAGAAAGTACACCCACCAAAACACCAAGACAGGAGGCAGAGAAAAACCAAAACACAACATACTCTTCATAACCCTCACAATTTTCATGCAGTCACCACAGTAATTTATACTCTGGGACAAGTTCTGACTCATGTATTAAAATGAACTAAATTCATCAACCAGTACAGGTAAAGTAGCCGGTGTCATTGGTGCTGTCGATGTGTCTACTACAGTTTGGTTGCTTTATGTTTATGTTTATGTTGCTATATATTTTTCAGTTCAGCTAATTTGAGTTCAGACTCAACCATGATCCATCCATCCATCCATTATCTATACACCGTTTAGTCCTCACTAGGGTTGCGGGGGGCTGGAGCCTATCCCAGCTGACTTAGGACGAAGGCAAGGGGACACCCTGGACAGGTCACCAGTCTATCACAGGGCTACACTTAGAGACAGACAAATAAGCACACACAGACGATTTAGAATCACCAATTAACCTCAACATGTTTTTGGACTTGTGGGAGGAAGCTGGAAAACCCGGAGAGAATCCACGCTGCACGGGGAGAACATGCAAACTCCACGCAGAAAGATTCCGGTGCCCCCACCGGGATGCGAACCGGCAACCTTCTTGCTGCGAGGCAACAGTGCTACCAACTGCGACACCTTGCAGCCTGTCCCAACCATGATAATAAAGCCTATTTTTTCTGCTGCCAACTGAATGATCATCATTAAAACACATATCATCGTAACCCTCATTTGATCAAAGCATATTTCTTCTTCCTATTGCAGTAATAGTTCTCTAACTATTGCAAATGCAATGCAAAAAAAGAGAGACATAAATCCATCTATAATACACATCTAAAATCCCCACCTATTTTTGGAAGAATTATTGTGAAAGGAAATGGAAAAACATAAATCCTCTTCACCACTTTAACACGTGTTAGGTCCTGCTATTGTCTTTTTCACAATAGCATTCTCCTCCCTCACATCTGACATTTCCCTTTGCAATAAGTCGTTACAAACACCATTCATTGGGGTGCAACCGTGTTTTTCATGTCTGCTGGTATTTCTTCACGTGCAACATCAATTGTATGCTTTACCTCTTTTCAAAACTCAGCTGTTATTTCCTCCCTTCCCCTTCACCAGATCACCATGTTTTTATACAACGCATCAGTAAGCTACAACTATTTTCTGATGGAGTTTTCAGCATTAAGCTTGTTCCATATTCAGGAAGGGAAAGTGCCTAAAATGCAGATTTACCACTCTGTTCAGTGGGTCGTCCCTGTAAACTAAATTCACCAACATGTTTAGGTTGTTTAGCAGTAGCAATAATTCACTTGACTGGAAAAAAAAAGAAGTGATGTTTCAAAGGGTACTGCAGCTCAGTGGAATATTTTCATGTGGGGATGCTCTTTTGAAAGGAATATGAATCATCAGAAAAGCAGAGTAATCGATTTTAATCACAGCTCCCTTCATCACAGGTTCAGGGCATATGCTGATGCTATGAGAAAATGAGCTATGGATTTAAATAAGTTTTTTTTTGTTGGTTTGTTTGTTGTTGTTGGGTTTTTTTTTCAGAATAAGGATTTTCATTTGAGGACTATGTCAAAGCAGTTGGGAATAACAGTGATACTTTGCAGTATTTTAGTATTTCCTCAGTATTCCAGACACATTGAAAAGATCATATTGCACTGCCTTATACTGTGAAGCACCATCCTTAAGGGAAAAATAAATATTTTCTTTGTCCTTTCTGGATGAGTGGCTCGATCAATACATCAGTCCCCTGTTATCTCTTACAGCCAAGCCAGTGCGTCCTGGCCACTACCCAGCCTGCTGTCCCACCAACCCCTTCTTCATCCGAGGCTACAGCGATCACCCGGTTGCCTTTTGCAACACAGTTTTCCACAACAGCAACAACCAACCAGCAGCTGCCCCATCAGCTCCCCAAACACCAGAGGGTGAGCCCATGTTACCCGAGGACAACTCCAACCCCACCAGCCCCGTCAAGCACATCGACTCTCACAACAATGACACGCACGACAACGATGTTCAGAACACCACGTGAGTGGACACAATTGTGTGTGTCGAATTTACAGTTTAGATTATCTTTTGTGGTTCTTCTAAACCTGGGGTGGGCAACCCGCGGCTCCAGAACCGCAAGCGGCTCTTTCATACCTCTGCTGCGGCTCCTTGTGGCTTTGTGGGAAAATAATAATGAGCATTTAATTTAAATGTATTTTATTTTACTTCGTTAGTTTTTAAAATGTTATTCTAAATTCGAAGATTTTGGTGATCTTTTAACATTAAAAAAACGTGTTTAATTTTTTTGTCGCTGAAAATATGGGTCAGAACCGCCGATGTGCGGGGTGCATATTCCGGCAGACCCCATTGCCAGAATATGCACCCCCCCCCCAAGAAATCTGGAAGGATACATTTTTATTTTTTCACAGTATGCTCAGACCAAATCTATCCCTGTTGTTCTTATTATTTCCACATGACCATGTACAGACAGATATTAAATATTACTGTTAGACTTTTTAAAAATTTTCATCAACAGGCAAATGGCTGTCACTGTGCTCCTTGAGAGGGGGTGCTTTTTCCGGCACAATACGTGCAGTGTTACCAACTTGGTGACTCTCTTGGCTACTTTTTTTTGTCAAAAGCAACTAGAGACAAATCTAGCGACTCTTTCTGGTGTTATTGGAGACTTTTCTGGTGTTTTGGAGACTCTGACGTGAAAACACATTGTATTGCAGTTACTGTCCTCAGTGAGCAGCGGTGCTGCCGTGAGCTCCTCCCGTCCCAAAGCGCTCACAGGCGGTCAGGAGTCTGGTCAGCAGTCTCAGCTGCAGTCAGCAGGACAACCACACAGCATTTTTACTTTGCTGCAGGTGGATAATTTAAGTTCGGCTTTTTATTTCATATATACAAGGAGGGCTCAAATAGACATGAAGTATTTTATTTGAAAGTAACCTTCAACCCAGCGTCTTTTTTTTTTCAGAGTTCAAAATGTTTTTGTTGCATGCAGAAATGAAATTTCGTTTTCTCTGTAGCAGTTCATTGATTTCATTAATGCAACACACTATAGTTTTTTTAATACATAGCATAAAGGTAAAAACCATATATGCAGTGTTATCTTCATTTTAGATGTCAAAAGGGTTTTGTGGCTCCCGGTGTTTTCTTTTCTGTGGGAAACAGGTCCAAATGGCTCTTTGAGTGTTTAAGGTTGCCGACCCCTGTTCTAAACACATTTCACCTTTCAGATGTTAGAAATACAGGAGTGCTTTTACAAAATAATGAATGAAATGAATGAATGAAATGAAAAATACTTTATTTATCCCAGAAGGGAAATTCAATCAAATTTAATCACAACTAGCCAACTTTTCCAGCTGCTTTTACCCACATCCTGTTCTCTGGAAATAGCAGTTTACTGTCAAGATCCATTTTCCAATTTTCTGTGTGCTTTTAACCAGATAAGAATGATATAGCTGGATGAAGTAATATTTCTTTCCCTAGAGCTTTCAATGGCATTTCACTTTTTCATTCTTGGAAGTACTAGTTTGATGAAATAGTCTTCACTGAAAGTCCACTATTTCTCTCATCTCATTCTGTAAAAACAGTATTTTATTGAAATACCTTTAACTCAAGGTTCACCTACTAGCTTTCTCTGTGCTTTTAACCAGATCAGGATGATAAACATACAATCTAGACAAAATAATCTGAAGTTCAAGTTTCAATCTCAAGTGGAGCTTTAAATGGCATTTTGCCTTTTTGTAGGGGGAAATAAGTTAGATTTATCTCCACCATAAAGAAAATTATTGCATTAATTAAAATGATTAAAACCAACCTTTAAATTACTTGTCCAGCGATATAATCTCAGAGTCAGTACAATAATTCTAATAAACTGTTTACTCTTGGTGATCAGTCAAGACTGTTTTATAATGTCAGGGAATTAAATTTGAGCTGAGGTAGCTATAAAGATGGGATACGTGAAGTGACTGAAAGTCAGCTATAGAAAACACAAGAAACAACTGTATAGGCACATAACATTTATTGCTAACTACAACAAACAAATAACAAATACAAAAAACATAAAACATAAAATACAAACAATGATGAAAATGTTGAGTAAGAATCTGAGAGTGAGAAACCAAATGTGGAGCAGAAGTGTGGCCTGGAGACTTAAAAAGCCTTTCACCTAAGCAGCACATTAAACTGTTACATTTGGAGTGTTTTTTTTGGAGGCCAATTGTAATTTTTAAACACCCGTTTAGAGACAGAAGCTCGATACTTGCAGTTTCCTTGGCGAGTACATCGATGTCTGGTGTTGACATAGACATGGCCTTCAGCTTCAGCAGAGTTGGATCAGCGTGTTGCAGTTGAAGTTGTAACATGGAAGACTAAAGTGGGAGATTCTGTGGCCGGTAGAAAATCCCTGTCTTTCGGGTGAAGGGCTTTTAATAGAAAAATTGCTGACCAATCACAAAGAACTCCCCTCCCAAAGGGGGTGATAGATGTGATGTGGTCACAGGGGGTGAGCAGTTTTATTCCAGAAGTAACAATGTTACTTTAGAACTATATGTACTTGTAATTATACAGAGTTAAACCTGTTGAAAATAAGTATCTCACAATTAGAAGATCACAAAGAGTGTAAACATGAGATTTAACTCTCACGGTTACAAAGATAATACAGTACTAGGATATATGATTATGTAACAAGCAGATACCATCAAGAAGGACTTATCCAACTATGATTAAGCTTTTGGAGTGTTTACCAGGATATTATGTACTTTCACACTTAACAACACTTAAACTAACATAGGATAGTAAAGGCATATTAAGAGCCTCCTGTGCTTTCTTCAAATTGTCCATGCTGATTGCATTCCTTAGAGAGAGCAGAGAGAGGAGCGGAGAGCAATAAACATTCACCCAGACGTCTCTTTCCATACCACCATTTGGCTAGTTAAGCTCTTTGGCTTTGGGGGTTGATACTCAAAGTGGGTAAATGTTCTCTTGTTCCTCTCCATGCATGTCTCTTATCTGTTAGCTGCCCTTTGAAGCTCTCGATGGTGTGATCCGTTGATTTGCACCTTCCTGTGATCTGGGCTGTAAAGTTTTGCGTCTCTTTGGCATCTGTGTCTGTTCATATCCTACATTTTCAATCTTGGAAATAAAAGTTTGATAAATTAATCTTAACTAAAGTTCAATTCAGTGTCTTTTTCCAGTGCCATAACCCATGTCTCACTTTGTTGACTAGGGAAATAACAGTTTGGCAGAATCATTTAAACTCAAAGTCCCCTCACTAGCGTTTTCTGGAGCCCTTAGTCACAGTATGGTTGCCATGACACCTATCCACTGGCGAGGATGCAATTAAAATCTCTAGGAATAACTATCAAGTGGACCTTGTGTTAAAATAATGTCAAACTATTTCCAAAGTCAAGACTGAGCTTTCTCTCTGGAGTACAAAAGCCTGTTTCGTCTATTACTGCTGCAAATAATCTGTGCTCTGCTCATGAAAAGGTCAAGCGTCTTAAAGTTAAGTGTGTGTGACGCACACATGCAGCATGAGCATTTTTCTGTAATCGCTTTTGACACTGATGTATTATTTTCTAGTAGAGTGAACACTTAATTTCAGTTTTCAAGTACAGTTTTTGTTTTGTTAAATGCAAAAGCCATAACAAATATTACACTGACACAACATCTATTTTTACTGTTTGCAGGTTTCCAGCTGAACCTGCAATACAAGCCGACAGCAACACTTCAGAGATGCTCGACTCAGAAAACGGTGAGCCGCATTTAGATAAAGCCTGTTAAAATAATGAGAAATATTATGATTGCCATCAGCAGGGGCAAATTCACTTATTTTTATGACAGTCTTTATAGTGATTGCCATTATGCTATCATACCAACCATTATGTTTGAATGTTGTTTTATATACTCTTACAGAGTGCTGGCTGTTAAACCAGTTTACAGTGATTGCCTCGCTGAGATCATAACTACTCTGTTTTTTTTTTCTTCTGCTTTCATCTTCATGTAATGGGCTTCTAGTCAGTAAATTTAACTGTCATTCTAACCCACCAATGAGAAAGAGTGAGAGTTTCAATATGGGTCCAGCTTCATATATCGATATATATATGTCGATATATTACCAAGATACAGACGGCAATGCATTAAAATTCACTAAGAAAATGTCCGGTTTATTTTGGGGTTTTCCAGCTGCTCAAAGTTTCTGTACATCTTCATGTTTGTGTGTGAGTGTGTGTGTGTGTGTGTGTCAGCACACATCAGCAACAGACTCTGGAGGAGATAGATTAGGCTTGTAGTGTCATTACTCAGATAGAGATAGATAGTCGACAGACAGGCTGGATGCCCACCTCCGTCGCTGACCCAGTGATGACAGTTGTTGAGTTGTGTAACAACACCACACCTCTTTGGTTCTCCAGGAATATCTATAAAAGTCAGAAACAGGGCTGTAGCCAATAAATCCAACTGCTGCAATAATATCTGCCATTTATTAAATATCAAATACCACTGATGTTGTCCAGTGAACCCTTAAAGGATTGAATCAGGATGTGTCCGTATTTTTTATTATCCTTCCCATGATGCTGTTTCTCCCATCAAGAACGTTCTGGGGAAAACTGATATTTTCCTCGTGAATCAGTCAGTCAGCTGCTTGACTGCTGCAATATTTGACATTGTGTTTGATGTATTTACTACGTTTCCCCCAAAATGGACACATGACATTTTGGAAAAGAAAGTGTATGCACACTGTAATATATTCTGCAGTCAAACTTCTGAAGCAAAATTTCCTTCTGGTTCCTTGCTAGTAATTTTCACGCTGGTACTCAGTGTCATGAATTTCAATAAGAGCTTATGGGAATGTGTACAACTCAAATCCAAATAGCTCTGCAAGGGCTGTACCCCAAATGTCTTATTTCTTATTTTTAGTTGTAGCCTTGACAGTTGAGATTGCTTTGGCAGGATAAGGTTTTTATTAACTGCCACAATATTTTCTCTACTTATGGGATTAAATTGGACGGCCTTATAATCCAGTCAACCATGAGGTGCTATGAAGATATCCAAGTCATCAAATTGCACACAAATTAAATAAAGTTGCTCCCATGCATAACAATGAATACATTTGCAAGAGATTGAGCAACAACTGAAGCTTCTTGTTGCGTCTGTATGTCAGTGTGTTGTGTTGCACAAAATGCCAAGTGAGTATTTTGTGAAATGAATCTCTGTCAGGTTAGTTCATAGAGAGTAGAGGCCTCATAGGATTGTAGTGATGCAGTAGCTGCCAGGACGAGGAGGACTTCTGACATGGCACAAAAAATTGTTCAGTTTTACAAATATTTTTCTCTCTAGAATAACAACTGAATTGGTTATTTGCTCAACTGGCATGAAATTATCTATTTAGTTCCACTCAAAAGCAATATACCACAATGAAAACCAATGAGGAAAAGTTGGTGGTGGATGGTTAAAAAGGTATAAAGACTCCAGTTAACATTGTTTCTTTTAATCATGACCTCACTCTTTTACTTACTTCAAAGAATTAGTTGTACGTAACAATACTTCATCTATAATTTAAAAAAATCTGAAAGCCAAGCAGTTTCTCTGCCTTTTTTGCTCCTGTCACTGTTATTTTTCACTGCAATGTAAAGTCCTGCACCTCTATGGAAACAGCACAACCATGACTAAAAGCAACCAGCTGTGTAGTATGATTTAGATGTAATATGTATATGCTATAGATATTTAAATAGTTACAACATTGTAATGTGTTTCCATGCATGGCTCCTGTCTGCTCTGAGTTAGCAAAGCATGCAGCTCAACTGAAAAATAATGGAATTATCATCATATGAATCTTGGTTGCAGCTGAGCCATTAATAGCTTCACAGTTTTAGTGAAGAGAGATTTTTTTATTTATTTATTTTTTTAAATCTGATAAGAGCAATTGATTTATTTTTGCATTTTCTTTTAATGAGACATATAGAATAAAGCATTTTTTTTTAAGGAAATATGACCATTTTAAGCTTAGCTCCGGTTAATTTTACTGACAATACTGCAGCTCCCACATGATTAGTTGAAGGACTGATGGAAAGTTAAAAATCTAACAATTGCTTCTGCTTTTACAATTTCTGACTCTCATAAATGTTAGAGTGTTGGTGAGTTTTTGAAGATGAAATGCTTTTCAAACTCACCGGCAGGTTTTGGGGTTCAGCGGATTAATAGCGATGACCATAGTCTTTCCCTCAGGGTAGGTGGCTAAACCTGAAAAAACTGCTGCTTTACTGATGAGGTTGCCAGATCAGTAAAACGCTCAGAACATCCTCTATGTAGACCTTCAGGCATGAAGTGTTGTTGTCTGATAACCAACAGATTATGCAGCTGCTTGTTTCAAACTCATGTCTCTCAAGTCGGCTGTTTCAGTTAAACCCGTATGTGTGTGTTACAAACCCACCTTCTCCCCCCGAAATGACACCTCACCATCCCTGTCACTGTGCACCTGCCTGCCTCCTTATGCACTCTCTCTGTCCACAGGAAACACCACAGATATCAATGACAACAGGTAAGACTGGTGCACCTTTTTCTAAATACTGCAAGACACCTGCTGCTCTCTGTCACCGTCTTACTGCAGGCTTTTGTGTTGTCAGTGTTGAGCTGAAACCTAAATATAACCTGTGTAAGTTTGTTTTAGAAACAGATGTATTTAATGATTTTTTGGGGTCTTCAATGGGCTACTGGAGGTCAAATGTATTTCCTGTATGTTGGAAATGTATATCTGTCAATTAATTTAAAAAGTAGAGGTAAACAACTTGACACAAAGAATGTTTTGATAACAATAATGGGCAAATCACATCTTACAATTTACAATTGAATTTGGCAGACGCTTTTATCCAAAGCAACATACATCTGAGAGCAGATACAACACATCTTGAAGAACTGCACTGCCACATTCACCCTGCATGCACTGAGCACACTTGTGTTTTTAGACTTAAAACTACTCTTAACATCACTGACTTGCCTCCCTCACTGCTGTGTCTTTCTGCTCTGTTGCTGCCCCCTTGTTGCTGTCACTGCTACTACTGCTGCTGTGGATGCTGCTGCTGCTGCTGCTGCTGCTGCTGGTGATGCTGTTTCAATGGCCTGATTCTGCGGTGTTGTTTAGCATGCGTCTGAATGTGAATTCTGTGTCCAGAACTGATGTCTGTGACAATCAGGACCCATCCAAACTCTACAGCCTGCAGCCCGAGGAATCGGCCAGCTAATAGTCCTGAGCAGGTAAGAAAAGTGGAGAAACTCCTTGTTTTTGATGTTTTTGCTAAACAACATAGTTATATGAATCACAGATCAGCAATCAGCAAAGTGTCACTGAAGCGAAGTAATAATTGGTCAATATTTAAATTTAATGAAACACCTTAAAAATGGTATTATACTCTGTAAAATAGTTATGTTCTCATCATTTGCTGCTATTCTGTTTGTAGTCCCTGTGTGGATGTAAGAGTTGAAAAATATATTCTTTATACTGTATAACAGTGATTTTGAAGCTTTTTTCAATTTAAATTACATCTAATACTTTATATAAATGTTTATTGTCCAAAAATGTAGCTCCAAATGGGAACTTAGGTCCATATAAAGGGAAATCGTCAGAATACTGAGCCCGTCCTTGAGGTGAAAGCAAACACTTAAACCAGTGTCACTGATGTCAAATCTCGTACAATGGAACCTTTCAAATTGTAGACAAAATCGTGAGGCCCACAGGGCTCTTGCATCTTAATGTTTTGGTCAGAAGTACTGCATGGCATTTGTAATAACTAAAGAAATGTGTCAGCATTAGGAGGAGATGATCTGATTGTAGGTCCTTGGACATTAAATAAAAGAGTACAGCTGCTTATCAAACATAACCTTAATAAATGCAGGTTGAAACAACTTTTTTTTTGCATTTCACATATGACTGCGTTATCATGAAATAATATCAGAATTGATACACTGGCTTGAGAGCTGTTTCCATCTTACATCACAGTGTCTTTAGGGGTTATTTGGTCTCAGCTCTCTGGTGCTCTGGGAGTCTGCAGCTGTAACCCTGCCAGCTTCCAGAGTGAAAGAACAGATTTTGTTTGTTTGTTTTATCCAGGGCCTCCCTCACTAAAAATACCTCACTCAGTGCACTGTGAGACACTTTGCACAAAAATGCATAACAAACAGCATCTGTCTGGGATCAGCACTTTTTTTTTAATTACCTCCCAATCCCAGCTGAATATTGTTTTTTAAAAATTGCTCCAGGAAACACCCATATGAGACATGGGAATTAAATTGTCACTGCTTCTGTGTTTTTTTTTAGCTTCATTCTATTAATTTTGCTCTCGCAGGATTTCATTTGGTTGCTGTCTTTGTGTGTTGAAGTTAATACATATTCATCTCCACGTGTTTAATGGGCAAAAGAGCAAATCGGCCTCATTTGGAAATTTCAGAGTAGCGATACAACTGAATTCAAACTGTATGTAAAGTAACTTGTATATCATTCAGCCTGCAGACAAAAAACTACACTAAAGATGGTATATGATGAAACGTAAAGTATCTTTACCTTTCAAGCTCAACAAACTTTCATGAAGTTTGCAGCAGAGTAAATATAGTTTTGCACAGAGATGGTGAATTTTACATACTATGAAGTCTAAATGTGGCACCAGACTGCTCTGCGCAGTTCCCAAAATGACTCCCAGTGAAGACACCAGACATAAAATGACTCAAGACATGTTCCTTCTGGCAGTGTTAGCATGACTCATTGGCTGCTGCCTCTTCTTCTCTGCCATCTTTCGAGCTGCCTGTTTCTCTCAAATGTATCTGACTGTTGCTCTTACTTTGTTTCTCTCTCTCTCTATCTCTCTCTCTCCCTCTCCAGGCAGACATTTTTATCTGAGGGCCTCCTCTGTAAATCTGCATGCAGCTGATCACTGTCCTCCCAGACTCCCCTTCCTCTCCCATCCTCACCTGCTGTAAACAGACCTCCTGTGTCTATTTTCTGTGCCCTGCTTGCTCTTCTTCAATCCCTTCTCCTTTCTATACTGTGGTGTGTTTGGGGTATATGTGGGTGACAGTTTGGCAAGCACAGCATCTCAAATGCCTGACCTGGCAGCCTACACCCAGATTGCCGCTGCACCCGCTCCCCCCTTGACTGAATACAAAAAGGAACACGAATAGAAAGGTGGGGAAGAGAAGGTGCAGTGCGGTAGGTTACCACTAGGATGTACTGTTTGACTCAGTGAGGGACACTGTGAACATAAAACTTGTGCAACAGTGAGCTAAAGTTAGTCTTGAGCATTGTTATTCTTCTTATTATTATTATCATTGTTACTAAACATGTGGAATACCTGGAAATGCAAAAATACAGATATCTGAAAACACAAAGTTAAAGTATGTTAAATAACATAAAAACCTTGTGCTCACTTTACTGATATTTACACTTTTGACTGCATGTCGATTTTTGATGTTGGCATTTTTCAGAAAATATATGAGAGAGGAAGAAAGCTAGTCAGGCAACATTGTCATTAAAATGTTTCTATCCCAACACCTACATGGAAAATAGAAAGAAATGTGTTTAAATCCCACTTAAAAATCCCATTAAAAGACCAGAACCCAACAATACCATAAGTTGTCAATCAGTTCTCTCTCACTTCCCCAGTCGGTCTGTAGCTCTGAATAAATATTTAAAAACAGGCTATGATTATATTGTTTCACTTTTGAAAAGGCTTAGTAATTTCCTAAAACCACAGGGGACTGCAGTTTTTAGCAAACATGACTCAGAGCAGAGTAAATAGTAAATACTGCATTTGTCAGGGACTATTTTCAGCCATAGATTAAAATCCATGTGATGCTCTAGTGAGCATTTACAGCAGCAGGATGGTGTGTGTGGGATTCACTCTAAATCGATCTGCAGCCCCTGTGTTTCTTGTAATGAAGAAAATATTAACAAGTGAAATAATGTGGCTAGTTAATTTGTCTTTGACAGGTTTTTCACACAAGATGGTTATAATAGGCTTTGGCACAAGTAATTCTTGTCAGGATCAGCAAGTCATTGTTAACTTTGGTCTTTTAATGGAATTTGCCGGAAAACAGCAGAATATAACAAGACCTTTCCTTTAAATTGGGCTTTTTGAGACATTTGTCAAACTGAAAGCATGATTTCTAATTTGTGAACATTTCTATTCAATCCCCAAAATATCAACCTGATTATTATATAGCTTTTTTGGTGTGTGTCATTGGTGTCAGTAGTCATAGTAACAACAGTCTATAATATTTTGTAGGCCACTGTTGCCAGTGTAGACCAACACTTCTGCGCACCTGCATTAGCTGAAACCTGGCCAAGCCTCAACTTTGACAAAGACGATTTCTGACATTTGACTTTTTTTACTCAAATTATAAAACAGAAAGTTTAGTTTATATATATAGTATAATATGTAAAGCTCCACAAAACTCTTGAAGACATGAGAGTTTTATTTTTTGGCACCCTTGGAGGATATATTTCAGAAAACTAGACTCCGTATTACAATGTTTTCATTTATTGGATCAAGAGGAAACAACCCTCTGACCTCCAGCAAGTTTTAGATCACAGACTTTAGAATTTTTAAATCTTGATGCTTTGGCTTGTTCTTGCAGTGGCATTATCTCATGAAGCACAGGAACAACACAGTGCTGAATGAGGAAGTTGGTTCGAGTACCGTTTAACCCTATTCAGGACTTTTGGGGTCTTTTGGATCCCAGGCCATTGGTGTAGGTATTGCTTTTTCATTTTTGAGGATTTTTTTTTTTAATATAAAAAGAGGGACATTTGTCATGCATTTGGAACCAAAAGAATGTAAACTCATCAGAAAATAAGAAGTCTATAATGAATACCAACAAATATTTTGCATATTCTTTCTTGGGGTCCAGTGGACTCTGACAGACCTTCTATGTATGGCAACATGAAAGTCCTGAATAGGGTTAAAATCAATTACAGGAATATTCAGTGGTTAACATCCGTTGCCACAGCATGTCTGACTTTTGATACACATCACTTGCTTTAACTAATCTGAACCAACTGAGTGAAGAGAAAAATAGACAAAGACTGATTGCTTTTAAAGGACTCATTGTGTAGTTGTAAAGAGACTTTTAAGCTGTAAATCATCCCTTAAAAAACTGCCTGTCAGGGATCGTCTGTGAAATATTCAGTCATTGTCATGTCATCCAAGAGCATGGCAGAGTGATAATAAAAATGTGTAGCAACTATTTTTATACTATTAGTTTTAGTTAGAAAGAATAATATATCATTTAGCATTTGCTCTACCTTGCAAATTTAATTTATTTGCTATTTATTCTTAATTTATGTCAGTTGTTGAATGTGAAACATTCATGTTTTGTTTTGATGTGTAAATGTATTATTTTCACATGTTTCTTACAGTAGAAGATTTCAGGTTTTCACAGTTTAGCCATTTTTGAAAACGTATGCATGTGGGCAGTTCCACAATGAATCCGTTAGGGAGGTGACTACTCCTACGGTGCTTTGCGGAACCACCTCAGAGTGAAACCAAAGCCTGAGTCATAAAGAAGAACTTGCTCCATAATAGCCTGTATAAGCTCTGTTGGAGACGTCAACCGAAGGTTACTGTAGGTTATCAAGAGCTGATACAGTCTTGTCTTATCCCACTGACATACACACAAACTCTGAGACGTAGCACCTCATCTGCCAGGAAGGTGTTTAACCTTTGACCTTTCCCATAAAGATAAGTGCTAAATCCTGTATTACTTGGGTTCAGTTGGAATGATCTCAGCAGATAAATTGATTGACTTACTGTCTACAGTAACGCGCAGTTGTTCCACGTTACCTGTCAGACTCTCTCTGTTGACCTCCTGATCAGACAGTCAGGATCAGAGAGACGAGGGTGAAAGTGGAGGAACTGTACTGTGTGTGTTTGTGTGTGTTCTCAGTAGGACATAATTATCAGTCTCTTGGCCATTGACTCTCTGTGATCCTTTGAGCAAAATAGACCCACATTTTATATAATAACCTCTAAATTACAGTGTAGCTAAGATTTACATATGGGGTACAGATGACACATTCAAGAGAAGACGTACAGGGAATAATAACGGACACAATTGTGTTTAGGAGGGATATTCCATGTTTGTTTGTTTTTTTACTATCTTGAATATGAAGTGAAACAAACTTTTTCTGAAATTAAATACATAATATGATACAGAGACTGTAATTGTGCACAGACTTCTTTGTACTGTGTTGTGCAGCAAACCCAGATAAAATTTTCATTCATTCATTAAAGCCACTTTAAAGTCACTCACTAACAGTCACAGAGAGAACATGCAAACTCTACACAGTATTTGTAATTATTTCAGTTATTTATAGTCACTGTGCACATGCATGGCAGCAGCTACGAACATACACACAGGCTTAATACTTTTGTCTTCTGCAATATACACTATATTAATAGCCACAAATACTTTCCAAAATGTCACATTTCCTTCTAATCACAAAGGTGTTACTTGTTACTGACCCTCTCTTCTCATTACAAAATTGAGGTTTATCAGAAATGTATGCAGCACTTTATTGCATTATTTTCCTCATTGCCCTTTACTCTCAAGATCTAACACTGTAATTGTTCAAACTGACTCTTTCTAAAAGGACAAATAAGGTAATGAACTTGAATTGTTTACATAACCTTCAAAAACCATGAGTTGAATGTGAATGGCCTGGTTTTTTTTCTCAGTCAGTGAAAACAGATATTGTCCTGACGTCCACTATGGTTACATAATGAGCTATAAATGTCTGGATGACTGAGTGTACATTTCTGTTACATTTCTAATTGTTCTGTTTGTCTCACAGTAACTGTAACCAAACTGATAATATTCTGGCAAGATAAATAATATGTGATATTCTAAATATGCTGAAATAAAACTCTGAGAATGTGAGTGGTTAAAAAAGAACAGAGGCAAAATGTCTATGTTTGTTTGTACATTTGTGTGTTGGTTGGTTTGTTTAAAGCGTGTGATTTAGTGCATGGAGTATTCTCTTCTGTAGCCGCTGACAAACAGTCTCACGAAGACTCATTTCAATAAATATGATCCTGTGTACATAGCATTATTACACTGTCTTTTATTACTCTTCTCCTTTAATGCCATTTTAAAAGGCATTTTAACAGAATTCCCACTTCTGTTTGACGACAGACATTTTATCACCTGCATGACAAATGGTGTAATAGACTGTCAATAACTTCAAATGCAGCTGCAGGCTCATAGAGAACCAGGAGAGCAACAGCGGAATCAATGTCACCACTTCTTGTGCCTAAATCACATAAAAAATAGAAATAAATCTCCTGAAACAAAGCGGTTTTGAAAATTAGAATGGTTTATTCAAATGCCTGTCCAAAGTAAATATTGAAACGAGGACAGAAAACAGAACGTTTCATGAAACCAAACAAATTGGATTGTCCAGTACATTCTTAGTTTGGCAGGTATTGCTAAAAACAAACCGTTTTTGGATCCACTGAAACATTTTTTCTGTGAATTGCTAAACATTGTATATCTGAACACAACATGTGCTTGACTGTTTTTTGCTATTTATAGTAAAAGTGCTTTTATAAGCTACACGCACTCCACAGTTACTTTATTGAATAAATGTGTGAACTCTAATACAATCAAAAGCTCTGCCATAAATTCTACTTTTTCTTGTATATTTTCAGTTTTTGTTGATGTCAAAAAGGTGATATTTTTACTTTTATGCTTATTGTTGAGGTCATAATAGGTGTTAGTGCTGGTGCACTGGACCTCATTTCATTTAAAATTCTGCTTAATATTATGTTCACCCAGTTAACAGAAAACTGAAAAAAAGACAGGAAAACTGTAACTAACTTGGTGAGTGTATGCTGCTGTTATCTCAAGTGGTTTCATACATTTCTCTTCAGTCTGTAACCATGCAGCTAAGCTTTTCTGATGTATTTTACAGAAGAGCTTTATTTAAAAATACATGTATTACCACTGGAAGGTTATTTTTAATGTTCCCCCCTTGGCATGTGTTAAGACACACAAAATACTTTTTCTCTCGAATAAAAATTTGGGTCTGATGTTTTTTTTTTCACAAGTAAATTCAAAATGCCTGTATGAAAGTCTCAAAATTACACCTATTACTTCTAACATCCATCCATTATCTATACACCGCTTAATCCTCACGAAGGTCGCTGGGGGGCTGGAGTCTATCCCAGGTGACCTAGGCAGGGGACACCCTGGACAGGTAACCAGTCTATCACAGGGCTACACTTAGAGACAGACAACCAAGCACACTCACATTCACACCTATAGACAATTTAGAATCACCAAGTAACCTCAACATGTTTTGGGACTTGTGGGAGGAAGCCGGAGAACCTGGAGAGAACCCACACTGCACGGGGAGAACATGCAAACTCCATGCAGAAAGATTCCGGTGCCCCCACCGGGATGCGAACCGGTGACCTTCTTACTGCGAGGCAACAGTGCTACCAACTGCGCCCTACAGCCCTACTTCTAACTTGTTAAAAACAAATCCAGAATGCACTTTGGTCAAAGTTCTTTGCACTGGAAGTTTGAAGTTTCTTCATTAGGTAACTGGTTGTGGTGTAATGTTTGTCTACACATGTTGAACTTAGATTTAAGGTGAACAGATGAACGTTAACGCAGCCTTCTAGGTTAAAACTTAGCCACACGTTATTCTGTACTATAATAATAAGAAAAACACCTTTTTGAGGAAAGAAGGGATTTAAGATGGTGAGTCAAAGCAGATAGATTTTCAGTTTTAGTCTTCACCCTGTGTAGAAAACCTTTGACCTGGACAACCTTGAGAGACCTTTAAGTATCTTGCTACTACTGATACAGTATCTTCAAGAATGAATTACAATCAATCATAAAAGGAATTATATGAATATATTTTGCAATAACTATCTCTTTGAATACATGATACTTTAGGACAAACTCCAATGTTATCTACGTGACCTCATGCATCCAGCAGAGGAGATGAACTGGGGTTGGGCAGCAGAGGATGGTAGTGCCAAAAGGGCAAAGTGCAGAATATCAGCGGAGTAAAGGACAGAGCACAGATCACAAGAACTGGGACACAAACTTACTTAAACATTCTTCAGCAGCTCTCGCTCAGTGGGAATCATCGAGGAAAACTGTGCCTCTCATCCTGTGGACCGCTGACTGAGCCCCAGGCTAAAAGTCTGTGAGTACAAATCTGACACAGTGTTTATGAAGGATGTCACATCCACCTGACACATCTGTGTCTGACATCTGTATGATTTAGGATTTAAATTCTCTAGTTTCTGCTGTCTGCACTTTTCTGAGTTTTAAACTATAACAAAGATACAGATTGACACAAACCTAGTGACAGCTGTAACCAACTCTGACAGGTCTTTGATAAATATCACTTTGGTCTGTAAATGTAGGAAACTAAAGCAAGTAGGAACCAGTAAAATAAACGTTCTATTGTTGTACAACAATGATGAGGCTTTAAACTTAAAGTAAATTTACCTTAATGAACAATATACGCTGATTTTACAGTAATTCCTCCCTCTGACAAACAATAAACAACTGAGCTACAAAAAATACTACTGAATAATTTGAGACGTGAACGTGTTTGTTTTGTTCAACAAACTTTATGATATGTTTATCAGCCAATCTTTAGTGTAGCTGAACATGACTGATATGTTCACTGACAGCCTCAAATGTAAGTCTTCAGCTCCAACTTCATTACAGCAACACCATCTGTTCAGCACATCATTGTTTCACTGTCTAATTTTGATCATCTTGACAAAATACATTTTCAGCTTGTAATATAACATAAAGTGCGGCTTTCATTTCTCTGATCACTCATCAACATTGGGAAGGAAATTTCAAAGAAAGAGATGCCATAAACTAATATAATAATCAACGCCATATTTTTCAATTTTTCTGAAAGTCCCTAAGACTAAGCACCATAGTGTATATAAACCTTATAGGACAGATATGAGTAAGTAAATTCAACAGCTCTTCCATGTCAGAATCCATTAAACCAACAGTGAGACATTTAGCAATAACAGAACCTACGTCATCTCTTGACTAAGTTGGATTTTCCTGCTCGTTCATGTGAATGGAAGTAAGTCATGATGCAAACTGTTTCAAAACAACTCTTTAGAAGCATTTGTGTGATATTTCAGGGCAAATGAGATGGATTCAATACTACTGAAAGCCGTGAAAAATCTATTCTAAACTTTGTTTACAGTGCATTTTGTTGGAATTATTCCTAACTTCTCTTGAAGTCAAGTGATTCATTGTGATTTCAAATCCATTTTGCTCTGGAGTTTATCAGCAAGTAAGAGGAAATTCACATACATCTGTACAGGCTGCAAAGAGGACAAGCTAGTACATGTTTTCTTAAACATGATCAAGAATGATCCCTGTTGCATAAAGTAATCAGTTCAAAACATGTTTTTCCTCCATCTCTCTCTCACCTGCAGCAACATAATGTATAATCTGTATGTCTGCACAGCTTATCTGCTATATTGACAGTTTTCCTGAGGAGTGATCAAACAGCGTAGCTTAGAACATGAGGTTTCTCAGGGTCTTTGACCCACCGTGGAGGTCTAACACACCCTCTCAGTCTTCTGTGCATCTTATCTATAGTGTGTAAACCTCTGAGGACAGCTAGCTATGTAATGTGTTTACATTGTTTAGCTTGAACGACAATGACTGGGGACAGCTCTCTTGCTATAGAAAGCGCTGCAGGTAACCATCGTTCAAACCTCTAACCTACCGGTGCATGTTTCTATATGCAGTTTGTGCACTGTCTCAGTTAGTGATTTACATGAGTTCCCTGGCACTGAGGCTCAGCAAGAATATTAATTCTTTCAGACATGAGGTACCTTGCCAGCTACTGGCCAGTGACCTAATCTAATCTCTCAAGTTCTAGTTCAACTTCCTCTCTAGATTGTCAAACTTTAACAAAAGGTAAATCTATTGGAGTTACATTGTAATTGGAGACTGTTGTGCTGTTGAAACACCTGATCTGATGTTATTCATTGGGGTGTTTCTGTACACAGAGACCAGTGCACCAGCATATCTGTGTTCTAAGTGGTTTAAAACTGGCTTCCTTAGAATATAGCAAATTAGGAGCCACCTATGGATCTAGATTGCTGTGTGTAATATCAGAGGGTGCACCAAGTTCTTTGATTTCTTTTACATTTCTAAAGAACAGGCTATATGGAGCGAATACAACAATTAATCAGCCATGATGTTTATCCTCAGAGAAGCAACAGCATTTGTATGACTAACCCATAACTTTGACATGTAGGACCATCTTCTGAAGTCCCAGTTGCTGGTCCTAATAGTTGTGGCGTCTCCCAGTGGTAACCATGACAACTACAGAGCGACCTAGCGGCCTCCACCATCGAAACATCAAGTCCTGTCAGTCAGATGACAGTTCCAGCCTCGGTATGGTCAGAAAGATTGTTTTCTACTGTGTTTGTTTGGTTTTTTTTAAGTGATTACATATTTGATACATAATTTGCACTGTTGTTAAGGTGACTGATTAGGCTTCATACTTTTTATGTTTGTATGTAGGTAGGTGGTAGATGTAGGAGACTGCAATTCTTGGTGTTATTCAAATCTTTTAAGCCAATCTTATAAAAAAGTTAAGATTTTTCTCAAGCTGCTACCTGACTTATGTTGCACAATATGTGCAAAATGTGGGATATTGATTTATCTCCTAATTCATCTCCCTAAACTCAGTGTGTTTAAATTTAAAGTACAATACGTTAAGTACATTTTATGATTTGGTAAACAATTTGAGCAACATCTGCTCTTCTCTCTGCAGATGGAGACCATGCTAATGTGCAAGAAGAAGATCTGAGGCAATGGAAAAACTATGCACAGGTAATTGCTTCTCTTTTTTCTTATTCATTTGAAAGCAAAATAATCTTATAAGTGTTTCTTAACAGGAAACATTGGAGGATGATTGTAACAAAGTGTTTTGCAAAGCACAGGCATAAGCCAATACACATTATTCAAGTGGAAACAGTGATGTACATTCTCACATTTTAAACTTATATGGTACCTACATGCACGGAGACTTTTGAGAGAACTCTGAAGTTCAGAAAAATAACATGTTTTCCCTGAATGCCTCGCTTTAGAGGGTGAAGGAGAGAGTACTGGAGCAGGTCCAGGGTCAACTCGGTGAAATCATAGACAGAGCTCTTATTGATTCCGTCCAGCCGCCCAACCACAGCCAGCCACCAGTTAATGGAAAGAAAACAAAACAACACTCGTCGGGGTAACAATTTTATTATTTCATGTTCGTCTGGTAGATGTATTTATCCTTTCAATCACTGCATTAAAAATATGTTGTTTCTCTGTGTGGTTTCGTTTAGCTATCAGAGAAAGGAGGATGGCAAAGTATTTGTGGCCAGGGCATCGCTGTTGGAGTAAGTATAAAAGATGGGGGTCAGTTTCCTATTTTGAAAGAGAAAATAGAGCACCATGCATGAAAGTATATTTTTCATCACTCAGTTAATTGACCAATCTACAAAAAGTCATAAAATAAATAATAATAATAAATAAAAACCAACAGCCATCACCATGAAAAACAAATCTGACTGACTGACAATTGACTGACTGAATGATTATTAGATATGTTGTATAAAATATATGTTATATTGATTTAAAAAAAAAAAAAAAGTGAGCTTTTACAATATTGAATTTCCCGTCTGGGATAAATAAAGTATTTTTCATTTCATTTTCATTTCATTCATTTCAAAATAGTGAGAGATATTTATTGTAACTTTCTAACTTTCTTTTTTTTGTCCGAACAATAGTAAAATATTATATATATAATTAATTTTGCAAAAAATAAAGAAAAGCAGCAAAAGGTTGACTTTTTAAAAAAAAAAAATTGCTTAAACATAGTTTAATTATCTGAATATTTTCAAATTGATTTTCTGTGAATAAATCATTTGATTTATTGACAAATTAGTTCAACCCACTTCAATACATATTCCGTTCCTTGCCTTCTTTAAATGATTGATAGATTTACCAAATATATTTGGTCTAAAATACAACAGTTTAGTAAAAGATACCAGTTTGAATATAAGAAAAACTGCAAACAACCTCTTAGATTATTCTGGGGAGGGAAAGTTATGGATAAGGTGTACTGTAGTATCCAATACAGCGTACTATGCAATGTTAATCATCCAGATAATCCCACTGACATGTTTATGTGTATTGTAATGCTGTAAACCCATAACATATTCAGCACAACAGCTGCACATGAATACAGCATGCATCTATTTTAATGACTTTGTTTTGTTTTCCTCTCTGTGTGTGTTTCTTCATTTTTATGCAGCGACCTGTTTGAGATCAACCACATCCGAACCATCTACCACATGTTCATAGCTGTACTCATCATCTTCTTTTTAAGCACACTGACTGTTGACTACATCGATCAGGGCAGGTCTGTATGTTATGTGCAACAAAGAACTCAGTTGCTCCAAAGTCTTTAAAAACTTCTTATTCACTTCTTATCATCTGTTCCTCCTCATTATGCCTCTCTCCCTCCTTCCCTCTCCGTTCATCTGGCAGCAGAAAGATAGCGCAATCAATCCCATTGAGTATTTCTGCTGTGTCTTTGGGCAGCTCAGTAATGATTAGGTTGGCAGTTGCAAATGCTTCTCATTTGAACAAGCGCCAGTGGGCAACTCCAGTGTGTGCGAAATACTTGATAAATTCACCCTCGGTTAACATTGATTTTAATATGGGTAAATTGATGAAATAAAAAATAATGTTGCCGCATTTGCACATAGCCATGCTGAATTCAACAAATCCTTTGACAAGCTGCGGCGAGTGGGTATTTTAAATCTATTATTATTATCACCAGGGGTGTCTTTTTTTCAAATGAGAGAAAGTAATAAGAAAAAATACTCAATGCATGTAGCTGTTTCTGCCATTAAAGCCAGTCATGCTTTCATATAATTAAAACGGTTATTCAACAGACCACAGTATCAAACATTTACATTTACTGAAAAAACATTTTAAGGTATCTTCCTCATAAAATAAATTGTTGTAATTGATTATAATTTTTTTATGCAGGTTGGTCTTGGAGTTCGACCTGTTATTCTTTGCCTTTGGGAAGCTGGGAACGGTCACCTGGGCCTGGATTATTATGTTTGTTTACACCCTGTGCGTTCCCTACTACACTCTGGTGCTTTGGGGTTCTTTGTACCACAACTTCCCTTCCAAGTTGGGCCTGTCTCTAGGGACAGGGTTGCTCCTCTCTGCCATTCAGACCTGCGTGCTTGGACTGTTCCCAGTTTATGTGGTCATCCACTACCAGCTACCTCCTGCCTCACGCTTCATTGTGATACTGGAGCAGGTGAGTGTATCAGAAATAAGTCCTTTTTACCATGTGGGTGGACAGGTAGCTCTTCATTTGGGATCTCATATAAACCATAAGTCAGTTGTTTCTTCAGTATTTGCAGCTATCTCGCAGGACATTTAAAAGATTTTTATGGGGTTTAAAGTTTGTTTAAAGTTCAAACAGCATCCCATCTCTTTTTATCACTTCTGCAGTTTAGATCAACTTGTTTTTGTTGCAATATAAGTTGCTGCCTTGCATTAAAAATCAAGAATAAAACCTCAGCATAAAAATTTTCATTGGTAATGACCTGTGCTAGACACACTTTGTACTGTTAATAAAACAATATGCATTGGTAATCCAAATTGCAAAAGCGTCCATTGCCGGCAGCTGGAACATTGTGATAGGGAAGGCCTGCTGGCCAGAGATGGAGGCCTTCCAACTGGAAAGTACCAAAAAACATTCAGATCTCAGCGAAGCCAGCATTTCCACATCACAGACCGATACCATAATACGTCCTCATCCTCTGTATTACACTCTCCAAAAGCCGCCTTAGTACTAAGATCATTTTAGCTCCGTTTGATGGAGTGAGATAATCCCAGGGCTTAGATGCTTTTGGGAGACCTGGGCCTGATCTTCATCTGACCTGGGCCCAATCAGTCTATTTGTAATTTGGTTTCTGTTCATCCCACATATAAACATCTCTTGTGCGGAGTATGATGCATAAATGAATGCCTTACATTTGTTAAATAGCCCTAAAAGAGTAAGTGATTCCCTGCGGCTGTATTATGTGGCTCCTTGCTTTAGGCAGATTGATTATGCATCATGTCTGAACTGCAGTTTAAGACAAGTTAAAATGATAAACCACTTTTCCCAACTGTGCTGCTGTCTGTCCTGTCATGCTGTATACTCCCCCTTTTGTTGTACTCCTTATTAAATAAAGAAGACATCAGCATACAAATGAGTGATGAGTCAATAATCACAAAAAAATATTTAGACTGTGAGGATGTGCTTCATGTCAGACGCTTTGTCAGATGATGCAGTAAAGACATACAATGTAGAAACTGCAAATACTGACAGGCTGTCTCACTTCACATAATGACTGTATTACATTTTCTCAGATTCGATTCCTGATGAAAACCTACTCATTCATAAGAGAAACGACTCCTGTTATTATGAAGAATACACCAAAGGAAGGTACTGTATTGCACTGATGTCAAGTGTATTTACTCCCCAGGCGCGATCATTACTCACAGTGACATTCTGAGACACCCAAGAAAAATTATTGAAACGGAACTTAGCAGGTTTACATATCTAATGATTCATGCTGAAGTAAAAACAAACAATAAGCGCATCTACATACAATAAATAACCTTCAGTGTGCAGCCCTGTGAGATGCTAATGTAAAAGTCTGTTAGTGGGAGAAAGTTAAGAAACATGTAGGTAAGACTTGTGTACTGAACGTGAATACATCCTCACTGCAGTGAACACCTCAGGAAAAAAACTCTACAGTCCTGTGGAAAAACTGACAAAAAATAGCATCATATAAGTGCCCAGTCTGGTTTGAATGTGGTTTTAAAAAAAATGAAAATCAGATTATTGTTTAACACAGAAGGTCTTTTAAATGTAATTTTTACAGAATAGAGCTGTTTTACAAGTTTTAAATGTCATCAGCCAGAATGAAGCACAGAAAACAATTCAGGAAAAGAAATTGGAGGGTTTAATTTAGACAATTTGCTGTAATGGCTTAACGATTTCATGATAAACTCACAGTCGTTTAATTTTAAAGACAGTCGTTTGTTAGCAGCTCCCTGCATTGAGGCACAGTAAAGCTTCAGAAACTGCAAATGGAAAAGTTAAATGGCTGATATTATGCCCTGTTTGAAGCAAGAAAAATGAAACTAAAAGCAGGAGTGTGAACCACAGACCTTAAAACTGCTGTTTGTAACCAAACTCTTTTTCAAAATTGTACAAGGAACATGTGACTGATTAAAACCCCCAAACTGGACCTCATATAGTGATGGTCACACTTACTGAATTCCTTTTGCTTTTCAGGAGAAAGTCCAAGGTTCCCAACATTTTCTAGCTATTTGTACTTCCTCTTCTGTCCAACGCTCATCTACAGAGAATCATATCCTCGGTAAGACTTATTACCTCCTCGCCTGGATTTCACAAACTCCTGCTCTCTGGCTCTGATAATTAGTGACCTGATCGTTGTCCAGTACAAATGTCACGGGACTAATTGGGTGTCATGTTACCCTTGTGCCACAGTTTCACAATATGCTGGAATTCAAAATGAAATAGTAGTAATTTGGATTCTTTACAACTTGAAAATGCTCTGAGTCCAGCTCAACAAATCAAAGTAGTCATTACCCTGAAAAACAACTTCTTCTATTTTTTTTTTGATGGAAGATGTAGTTAAAGTTCAAGTCATGTTCAAGTTTGTCGGGGAAGAGATGCAATGTGGAATCCCTAATTTAGGATGAAAAGACTCACACAAATTCATTCAACATGACTTCAGGAGACATACCTGAAGAGTAAGGAACATATTATGTCTAATGTAACTTTTTTTTCCCTTCACAGAAATAGCCACATACGATGGAAATATGTTGGTATTACTGTTCTCATGGTGAGAGGAAACTCTTTATACATACATATATATATATATCATTTAATTATCTTTTGTTCGCAATATGTACCATAATCTACTAAGATGACCTTTATAAGGGTTGCTGACCTACAAATGTAGAAGTTCCACTCCTATATAGTGTGATAATATGAATCAATCCTGAACTACAGGTGTTTAATCGCATTAATCTTATCTTGCATCACATCGCTGTCTTCACATTTGCAGTGCTGATTCTCAAATATATTCTCCATTTTATTTCCTCTTTTCAAGAATGTCCTTGTAACGTTTTCTCTTTTTTTTTGTATTTCTATGCTCAATTTGTAGCTGTTTGGATGCCTTTTTTACGGCTACTTTATCCTGGTGCGTCTTTGTATTCCCGTCTTCAGACCCGAGACCAACCAGACTTTTAGTAAACGAAAAATGGTTCTGGCCGTGTTCCACTCTGTCCTTCCAGGTACTTTCTACCTTCCAACAAGCACCAGTTGCACACACGATCAGTGGTTCCACCCACAATGAAACAACAAGTTCATGTCTGATTTTGCTTGTGACATCTGTTATCTCTCATTGGTATGAGTCAGTACTGGTTAATGTATTACTTGCTGTTGAATGGAGGATGGGAGTCTCCTGTGTTTTTAGGTCAATGATAAGATTAAAGATGCTTTCATGCTATCAGATGCAGGTAATAAAAGACTGGTACTTTTATTACACTCTTTAAGTAAAGAGCTTATCAAATAAGTGCAGACATTACAGCATCAGTATCAAGTTGCAATTCTTCTGAGGAAGCTGGGAGCGATGCCCAAAATGAACTTGTGCCTCATGATCTTCTCCTCTCTCTTTCACTGTTTCAGGTATAATGCTCCTTCTGCTGTGTTTCTTTGCCTTCCTGCACTGCTGGCTCAACCTCTTCGGGGAGCTGCTGCGTTTTGCTGACAGGATGTTCTACAAGGTGTGTGTGCGGTTGATTTTCTGTACCATCACCTCTCCTGTGATCGCATTATTTTAAAAAATGCTTACATGCCAGGAGGGGAAAAATCTGATTATGACAAGGGAAAAATTGCAGCAGGGTGGCCTGGCAGTCCCCAAACAGTTTAACTTTTTCATCATCATATTCTGGGCTGCAAGGTGGCGCAGTTGGTAGCACTGTTGCCTCGCAGCAAGAAGGTTGCCGGTTCGCGTCCCGGTGGGGGCACCGGAATCTTTCTGCGTGGAGTTTGCATGTTCTCCCCGTGCAGCGTGGGTTCTCTCCGGGTTCTCTGGCTTCCTCCCACACAGTCCAAAAACATGTTGAGGTTAATTGGTGATTCTAAATTGTCCATAGGTGTGAATGTGAGTGTGCTTGGTTGTCTGTCTCTAAGTGTAACCCTGTGATAGACTGGTGACCTGTCCAGGGTGTCCCCTGCCTTCGGTCTGAAAATACATGCTTTCCCTTATTGTTGGCCCACTTGCACTTTGTTCTCATGTGGCTCTCTCAGAATCGTTAGGTTTGAGTAAATTTAAACTGGCAGATGGATTTAGGTGTAAAAAATATTATGGCACAAGGAAATTTTTACTTGTGTATTGTTTGATGTTAATGTGTAAACCAAAATTTGATGTTCACTGTATGGAGCATTTTAAAAAAAAAATTTTAAAAACACTATTTCATTAAACCAGTACAATCAGCAGCACCATAGAAAAGGTCATCTTTTTTGAAGCTCTCTTTTGTTGAGTATTTTTTCCGTCAGGATGTGGCTGCACATTTTAGTTTCATTTTCCGATGTGCTCTAGATCTTTGATACACATGATGCCTTTGTACTGAGGATCCCATTTGGTTGAACTTAAACAAATAACTACTTAGGACTTGATGTCCAAACCAGTTTGTTTCTCCAGTAGTTGGAACCACTGCTCAGAACTACCATACCCTCAACTCCAAGACTAACCTTCAAAGCATTGAGCTCATTGAGTTTTGAGAACATAATTGAATGTTCTATGCACAGATGCTTTCAGAAAAATCATACTGGCTTGCCTTGCACTAGTATAACCTAAAAGCAACTTCAAAATAAAATTGTTCTTAGCAATATGAATGATTTAACTGCAGCCATCCAAGTGTTATTCAGACTTTAAAACTGGTGCGATCCTTTCTTTAAGTTTTTAGTTTGATCCATACAAATTACTTTGAATATCCTCTGTTTGTTTTCCAGGACTGGTGGAACTCTACGTCTTTTGCCAACTACTATCGTACCTGGAACGTAGTGGTTCACGACTGGCTGTATTACTATGGATACAAAGACATCCTCTGGGTGAGCAGAGTTCCAAAAAGGCAGATTAAAACTAGTTAACAAAATGACAATAACAACTAAAACTAATGTCAGATCACACTGTGTTTCCAAAGCAGCATGGTCACATGATGAAGTGTGTATGGTAGTTTAACACTAAACCAGCCTGACCCCTGAACTTTAAGCCAACCCCTCTCTGTCTTCTTTCTCTGATCCCTGCAGCTGTCAAAAAGGAAATTCCGAACAGCTGCCATGCTCTCCGTTTTCATCGTCTCTGCTGTCGTCCATGAGTACGCTTTAGGCATGGGATTTGGCTTCTTCTATCCCGTCATGTTCATTCTCTTTGCAGTCTTTGGAGGTGAGGGATCTGCTCAATATTCAGGAAATAATCTCTACCGTGGCATAAACAGCAATTATTGTGATCTTGTGCTCTGACCCAGCTGCGGAAAAAAAAATGTAATAACTTAAAGGCCTTTCAGAAAAAGGGAAAATATATAAATATATTTGCTGCCTACATTATTACCTCTTTTAGTTAAAACTCTGTGCCTAACTTGCCTGTCCATAATTGCTTTCTAAAAATATGTAAATGTCCTGTTTTACATTTTGGACTGTGCCTTGGAGCCTTCAAAGTTTAAATCTGTAATTATTTGCTTTCACATGCTGTCAGAAACTCTTTTTAGAGGACTCTCATTATATTTAAAGAAAGCACACTTGTGCATTGTGTCCTTTTTCTCTGGGACTCGAAAGGTCTGACAATGTTTTGGTTTTATATCTTCTCACTGTTTGTCCTCGTCCCTCTCTGGACCGTCTGGCATCTCAGCCTTAGCACAAATAAATATTACTAGACTGCAGATTAAATAAAAATAACTGTCACTAACTACATCCCCTCATGTAATTCCCTTTTAGTGGTGTTCAACTTTACCTTGAATGACAAGCGACAGAGTCCCGTGTTCAACATCATTATGTGGATGTGTCTCCTCCTCGGTCAAGGTGTCCAGGTGTGTCTGTACTGCCAGGAGTGGTACGCCCAGATACACTGCCCACGGATGGGGGTATGTACTCCACCCACATGGTTCCTGCAAATAGTGGAACATGTTGTTTCTGCTCCAAGATATGTATCTTCCTAACACTAAAATAAACAATTGCTTTGGATCATATAATATAGAACCACGCAGAAGAAATCTTCAACAAAAGGCTTATTTTTGGAAAACTTGCACTTCTTCCAGAGTTTCTTAACCAGCTTCAGCACAATCTAATAGTACAATCATTCAGCCCTTCAAAAAGCTTGACAGAAGTCACACATCCCTGTGTTTTACAGCAACAGAAAAGTGGGTCGGATAGTTCAGTTCAGTTTTATTTAACAGTACCTTTCTTGGCTACAACCAGGACGAAAGCAATTTGAAATAAATTCAATAAAAGCTGAAGGACAGAGCGATTAATGATTCTTTTTAAATATTATTTATACTGTGAGATTCTACTTCTGAGGTTTAAAACCATAAATAAGCTTGGTGAAGAGTGGTAAAGCTATTGTGCAAGACAAGAAAAAAAAAATCAAAAAGCTAACCTTTGTATAGACAGTGACAGCTACATAAACTTTGAAACAGTTGCTTGTTTGTAGCACTTTGACCAACAGAGGGACACCTAATATTACATCACTTACACCAATTTCAGATGGAAAATAGGCCAGCAGGTGAATAAACTTTAGCTACAGCTGACGACAGATGATCTCAAGTATACACACTACATGAGTGCATCATGTGACTACTCGTTGCGTACGTTGATGCTGGACGTCACACAGACGTCAGTATTCAAATTAAAGAAACAGTCACAAATAGCCGCTTACTCTTCTTTATTATCCTGGCTTTGTCATCTGCTCTCATCCTGTCATTCATTGCTACTACACATGACTCTATTTGTGCAGACATACATATAGTTTTGCTCTTAGACGTACCAACCCAACCATAAGAGTGTGTAGTAGAGTCACATGCAATGCATAGAGGATGTGTGTAAAACTCTGACATGTATAGGAGCCCTAGTAGCGCAACCGGATGAGACTGCGACCCATTAACAGGGGATGCAGCGGTTGTGGGATTGACTCTCGACCATGGCCGTTTGCTGGAGGTCTTTGTCCACCGCCCCCCCCTTCCTGTCTCTCTCCACTGCTCTGATAAATAAAGGCAAAAGCCTAAAGGAAAAATAATTTTAAAACTCTGACATGTATTTAACCCTTGAAAAGCCTCCTTCCAGCAGTGAGGCTTTGATGAACTGGTAGATGTAAAGGATTTACATGACAGATGGGCACACATGTACTTAACATACTTGCTCCACTATGAACCACTGCATCTCTGTGTATCCCCAGAGGAGGCTTCCTCTAAAGCCTGCAGCATCATTCACACACACAATGGCTTAACACAGATAACTGCTGTCTAAAAATAGAATTCCTGCCTGCAAAACAAGATTATTACATGATAATAACTGGATGTTAAATAACACTGATAAAAATGTGTAACAGGATTGCAGATAGTGTTACTAGAAGTGCAAGTATAAGGGCTGCATGCTAAATTTGACTAAATCTTCTACTCTTTCTTGTCAGGATAGTCTGTGGGAGCTGCTGTGGCCTCGATCTTGGGCCTGCAGCTACAAGAGATGAAGCTGCTTTTCCTCCTGGGCTGGATGAATTAATGATGCACGTTTGAAATTCAAGGTGGAGCTCTGAACTGATTGAACATCGGAGAGAGCAATGAGGGACAGCGGCTTGAAAAGGCTTGTAAATAAGATTTCTGTGTACAGAAGTTTTATCATGGTCAAGATGTGATCATCACTTTTATTCAGTTGTGATGTTGTCCATATGTCACTGAATTATTTCAGGTTTTTATTTACACTAGTGTTATTATTTAGTTGTTAATATTTCTGGCTTTGTGAAACTTTTTTTCTCTGTGTAACAGAGTTTTTATCATGTGATAGAATATCATACATTAATTATTAAGTGCAGCGTTTCGTGAAATTACGTTATTTTCACCATTCTGTTTGCGTACAGATCAAGCAATCATGATACAACATGCTGTTTTCGGGAGCTTTAGACGAGCCAGGGGTTTTCACCCACAGATGGAGCAAATCCAGCTGTTTCCTCATTTCAATTGTTTTTTATTTCTATGCAAAACTAGGTTGGTCATGTCCATAATAATATACAGGGCGAAAATATGTACCGTATGTAAGCTATAGAAGATCTTAATTTATAACCCTAAACTCTCTAAATGTAATAATTGTAATTGTTAAATATATTTAAATGTAATACAAAGCCTCGATGGCCTCAGACCAAAGACCAATTTTATTGTAGATAAGATGTTTAATTGCATTTTTATTTCTAACGTATTTATATTAAACCCAGCCATGGCTATAACCTGAAATGAGAGCATTAGCGTCTTAAAGATTTGTATGTAAGATTGACAGGTCAAATGAGGGACAACTTTAAATCAAGCCTGACATGCTGGGTGAGTTGCATGTTTAATTCTGCCTCGGTTGACATGTAGCTGGCAGGGATTGGTCAGTATAGTAGGTATGTTGCACCAATCAACTACAGGCTGTACGGTGTCTTATCAGTAGGCCACAAAGCCTCTGTGTCTGCCTGCAATGTCATACAGGAAGGAGAGGATTAAGGCTGGTACAGTGTTTGCATTAGTGATGTAATGCTCTGTAAACTGATATACTGTAATGCCATGGGAGCTCAGAGAGGCAGTTTTTGAGGCAGCATCAGAACAGGAATTGCATACATTTTTTCTCTACATTTGATGCAGTAAATAAAATCCATCTGTTTCTTGTATTTTCATTTGACGTGTTCGTTATCTCCAGCTTTCTTTTAACTCACACATCAAAGGGCTGTTGCACATTTTATTTCTCTGATTTATGCCATTGTCATCACATGATCCAAAGCAAAATGTCATCTTTGCTGGATGGTACAAAAGGTGGGAGTGGAGGTTTGTAGACTCACCTCATGTCCACTTTTCTAAACTGAATTTGGTCACATGGTGGCAGGGCAGAGGACCGACCCAAAAACACAATAATGATGTACACTGTGGGAAGCTATCTTAAGCAAACTGCCTTTTACGAGTCCAGCAAACATGGAACAAAATCATTATTCATCTGGAGTCATGCTTCTGAGCAAATGACACAAATATCCACCAATTTCTAAGAGAGATATGACATTGGTGCTGAGCAGGGGACACACAATGGCTGCTTTGCTGAGAACATATAATTGTTGCAGCTAAATGGTTAAAGAGAGAAGTGAGAGAACCAAAACAGTAAAGTTGCTAGCTGTGAAACCAAAGCAATGAGCCAAGAGACGCTGAAATCCTTTGTAAAGCTAAAAGTAACTGCAGGAAGCAGATAAGTCAGATAATAATTATCTGTAGTGTCATGACCCCTTCACACATTAATATAAACATTTATTACTGCAGTCTAATTTAGCTTCTCTATTCTCTTTCTTTCTTACAATGCTCCACGACGGTTTAGATCAATATCAATATCTGTGCCCCTCTGGATGACTTGTGTTTTCTTTTTGTTGTTTTATGAAGAATTTCTTACCCAGTGCAAATTCTGCAAAATATATTTTACAGAGACTGACCAATAAAAATCTAGCTTTTGTCAACCATACGTAAACCTTAAAACAACTGTTTAAAGTTGTGCATCACAAAAGGCTTACAGTAACTTGAGCTGAAATATAAGCCTCAGTTTTCCTGCTTCTAACACGGAAACTGCAGCAACCACAAGAAATCTTTTGGTTTTTCGTTCTGTAGATGGAAAATATGCTCAACTGGCTCATGAGCACTTTGTCAGACAGATTGGATTATTTTCCTCCCCGCAGAATGTCCTGCAATACCCCAGATGTCTCCAGAGGCCTCCGATAATGAACGTTTCCAGCATTTTCTGCTGAAAACAGACTTTTGACAAAGCAGCTGAAAATAAAGGAATAAAATAGGCAAAGTGACATTATAAATCCAGAGTGGTTTATTGGTTTTATCAACTGGCAGGTTTGCCAAAGCACCATAAGAAACAAACTGAGCTATAACCTGTCTTTATATATATTTCACATGGCAGTAAGATGCATTCGGGAACAGTGGTATTAAAGCATGAGTGAACAATCCAAACAGAACATGACACCTTCATGAAAAGGGTTTAATACATCTTCAAACAAAAACACAACTTAAACAGCAGTTCTCGTACTTTGCACACTACGTGCAACACTGTTTACAGCTGGCAGTAATTCTCAGGGAAGAGATTGAAATGAATCGAGTGTGAGCCACACTGCTGCTGTAACACACGGGGGTGGGGGTGGGGGAAGGACAGCAGGACACACTGCAGCCATAAACAGGGATTAGAGATGAACACGCAGATATTTACTTCCATCTAAAACACCAGCCATCCAGCCAGCACTGTCCTACTGCTGCTGTGCTGTTGCTGCTGCTGTGCTGCGCACGTGCATTCGTGTATGTGCGCGAGTGTAATCGTGCGGTAGGTGGGTATGTGGGGGAACAAATCAGCTTTGAGTAGTTGATCTGGAACAAAGTGGCTCAGGAAGCAAGCAGAGCTGTGATTTTATTCCCTAATTTTCATGAACAACATTTATAATCAGGGTTTAGGGAGCACAGGTTAGGGAGGAGCTTTAGAGCCACTCCAACAGAGGCAGACAGAGAGTAAAGATAAACTGAGACGGTAAAGTACAGCTCAGTGCAAACAAATTTAGACAAGTGAGAGAAACTGAGCTGAGATCGTTTCAATGAGAGAGTGAGGAGCGCGATAACGACAAATTTGGCTTTCCTCCTCCTTTCCGCGAACATGCATCAAGCCTTAAATGATGGCACGATGCGGCCTGCTTGCAAGACCAAACTTTTCTTAAGTGTTACTTTCAACAGGAAGAGGAGGATGGATTTCACCCATTTTAAGTGCGCAGACACAGTAAATCTGTCCAACAGATTTCTGTGGGCTAGCAGCAGGAGCTATAGACATAATAAGTCTTGGCAGCAAAAATGTGTGGCCTGAAACCACATGATAACTATGACGATAGCGAGGCTCCACTAAACTGTCTGGTCATACGACTGCACTCCTCAGGAAATTCTCACCTTGGGGACAAGAATCCTAAACAGCATGAAACAACACAACAGCTTTCCTGTGTAACAAACAGGGAATTCTTTTTCACAGTACTTTTTTTCTATCTCACTCACTTGACAAGAGCTTAGCAACGATTAATCCCCCCCAAAATAAGAAAGAGAAAAAGCAAAGAAATGACTTTTCAGCTGGAAGAAAATCAAGTAAAAGGATACCAAGGGGGCTTTGGTCCCGGTCCCGTTTTTGTCCAAGCGCTTCAAAAGAGTAGAACAGACTGCTGCAGAATGTTAAACACAGGTGCTTGCCAAAGAAACACGGTGCTACAGCACAGTTGTACCTACATTAAGAAAATAAACAGCTAAACTCCATAGAGTATTTACATATTTCAGCTCAGTGCATATTGGGTATCTCTTCCATTTTCACTGTCAAATCTATAAATCTGTATAGAAAACTCTTAAACCTGAAGCATCACAGGCGAAGAATGCTTGAAACTGGAATCGGTACTCAATTGGTCTGTATCAGAAAGTCCCTTGCCAGCGGCTTCCTTATTAAGTAACAGACAGAGACATTGTTTACATGCAGAGTGGTGCCGGACTGCAGGCGGTGGAACGTTCCTGGTCATATTAAGTTTCTGGAGGCTGAACTGCTCCCATCAGCATTCATGTGACTGTCAGTGGTAGTGCCTTAACCATGCACATATATTTGGACATAGTTGGTCTTTATATTCAAAAGAAAAAGGGGGGAAAAAACATGCAGTCTGAAAAAGGAACAACTGGAACACCATCAATAATTTGTAAAAACACAGAATGTTCTTTGCTTGCTGGAAACTTGCACCATCAGTCAATGCAGAATGACCTACATATCCAGCATCATATAAACCATCTGACACCGAGGAGCATTCACAGCATCACATTGTAACAACCACGCCATGACTTCTCAGAGGACAGTTGGTTATATAAAAACAAGATTTGTACACACATTTTCCTCACATCCAAGAGACTCAAAACAAACCTGCTGTGCCCTCTTTACTTTCGACCTTGTTTGCCTGAGGATTTTGACCCTTTTCCATTTGAAACGATAATAAGCTGGGATAAGGAGGTCACTAAAAACATGGTTTAGGCTAAAATGGAAACAGGAACCAAAAGAAATAATCTTTTCCCAATTAAAGCGTGAAGAGGAATCATTGGATGTAGGCCTCAAAAATCCATGCTCCTATGTCTATTGGTGCACAATGCCGCAATCACAAAAATATGTTGTGTCCAGAGAAGGTTTGAATATAAAAATATGAGAATATAAAACAGATTTTTTTTGGCATTGATTGTTAAACAGGTAGGTCAAAACACAGACAATCAACTATCAAGGTGACAAAGTCTTTTTTTTTTTTCTTTTTACTTCATTTTGTGCTGAAGTTATCTTGTGGGCCATTTTTTTCCATTGTGATGTGTGCATCACCTCTTCATGCTACTTCATGAACAATCGGATTTCAGACAGCAGGCAACAGTGGAGACTTATTTCTGGTGAGCACGCTGCCTTGCCAGCCGTTTCATGAAGCAACAGGTCACCGTTGCGATGATGACAATGCCTACAAACAAGGCAGATGAGACTCCGATCACCAGAGGGATGAGAAGGAGGTCAGCAGCTGAGGGAAATAGGAAAATAAAAAGAACCATTTAGCAATATAAAGTAGCATTTTTGTTAAGACTGCAGAGCTACTGAAAACAAACAATATCTTTTTTTTAAATCATTTTCACTGCAATATAAAGTCCTGCATTTTATGGAAAACAGCACAGCAATAAGAGAGAACCAAAGAACTGAATAAATAATTAAATAAATAAATCATAAAAAACAGCTCTCTTCGATAAATGATAAAATAATATGTGTCCACAGGTGTCACCAACGTTGAAAAAATGCTGCCTCTAAATACTATAGATATTTTACTTCTTACATTTTCAATTTGTCTCCATACTAGTGTCCTGTCTGCTTTGTGTAAATACAGCCTGCAGTTCAGCCGAAAAGCCCCTGAATTTTTATGTGATTGTTGGTCACAGCTGAGTTTTTTAGGGTATTTTTGGCAAATTTTTAAATCAGACATGAGAAATATAATGATTTTGATCAAATATCACGTGTTTAAACTTAGACTGGTTATCTAACAAAAACAGATGAGTAGATCAAGGACTGTTGGAAAGTTCAAAATCCAATGATTCTTTCTGTTTTTACAGTTTCTAGCTCTGATAAATTATGCAATCTTTGCAATTTTTTAAACTGATAAAGTCCCTTTTAATCCAGCCAGCGGGTTTTGGGAATCAGGAGATTAAATGGAGAAAATACAGCAGGCGGCGCCCCGTCTTGAGTTTTTAATCAGTATGCCCAGTATACAGTCATGGACAAAATGATTAGACCACCCTGGTTTTCTTCAATTTCTTGTTCATTTCAATGCCTGGTACAACTAAAGGTACATTTGTTTGGACAAATATAATGATAACAACAACAACAACAGCTCATAGAGTTTAAGAGCTGGTATCCAGCCATTTTCCATGGTTTTCTTGATAATAACCAAAATCACCTGAGTTCTTACATCAATAGTTACGGCATTGTACTGCCAAAAACAGTGCTTTTAGGCATTTCATGTTTTCTTTTCTGTCTGTTTTAGTCACATGATACACACAGGAGTTAGTACTTGATTAAATAACCATTGCTCTTGATGACTGCAGCCATGCATCTTGGCATGCTCTCCACCAGCTTCTGACATTGTTCTGCTGTCACAGCAGCCCATTCCTGTTGCACAAATTCAAACAAAATTGCTTTGTTTTTGGGCTTATGGTTCTACCATTTTGTGTTTGATGATTTTCCACAGGTTTTCAGTTGGATTTAGATCTGGTGATTGAGGAGGCCAAGGCATGGTTTGAATGTTCTGGTTCTCCAGCCAGGCTTTAACTGGAAATTGGATTCATCACTGAAGAGAACGTAGCCAATCAACAGTCCAATCCTTGTGATCTCCATCAAAGAGTAACCAGGCTTTCCTCTGCCTTTTGTTGATGAAGGGCTTCTTCTGTGCCCTGTGTGACTTCACATAATTCTTTAGTTTTAGGCATTATGTGAGAGCTGACAACTTCTGAGTTGTACTACGGCTTGAATGTAAGCAGGAAATCACTCTAGGCCTTTGCATGTGCAGTGCTGCTTATGACATGAGATGGCTTCTTCTATACCCTGACAATACAATGACGCTTAAGCATGTGAAATAGGACATAAAGTATGATGTAATGTAATTTTTTGTCATGGTCATTGTATTCTTCAGGCAATACACCTTTAGTTGTACCAGGCATTAAAATTAACAAGAAATTGAAGAAAACAAGGGTGGTCTAATTTTTTTTTTTTTTGAATAATCTAACTTCAGAGAATTAAATGCTAAATAGTGTATGTTTTTTTTAAATGACACCTTGCTTTGATGATTCAGTTAAACTGTATATCAAACTGAGTCTCTATCTAGGATCCACAGTATGCTAGGTCAAACTGGAAAAAGGTCAACAACTAACTTTGCTACCAGTACTTAGACCAAGATGATCATGAGCACAGTGCTAGAAATATCACTGCCCTGCTTTTATATATCTTATATATTTTAAATAATTACACATTATATTTTAGTTGTATCTGGATGTGGATAAAATTCCTCATGATACAAATGCACCAAAGATCCAGTAAAGATCATTTCACCCAGTAGCAGATACACATTCAGGGAGATTAGTGTATAATCTCCTCTTGTTGGAATGCCCCTGGCAACACAACAAGCTCCCTGTTCATGCCCACGCTAGCTTCACTGTAGATATGCTTTAATCACATCGTTTGCCTTGAGAATACTGATACGAACTCAATTGAAAACTTACAGTGAGAAATGCATAAGCAAAGTTTGAAGGACCACAGCTAATCCCACAGAATTAAACTGACGCTGTCCACAAATCAGAAGTTTAGATACTTGGGGCAAAAAAAAAGTGAGATTAAGGGCTTTTGTGTATATTTAAGATGTAAATACATAGAACTGTGCTTAGGAAGGGCAGGGAAAGGATCTGGGGTGGAATCAATTGACACAAAAGGTGTAGTGACCATTCAAGGTTATGAGTAAATGCTTTACATTTATACTGGCTATCCTCCAACTTGGCAACAAAGGCTGCCAGTTTGATCCCCCCATTGATTCTTCAGTTCGATTCTTAAACAACCTGAATCAATCTTAGGAGTAGCACTTGCCCCGTTACCCCCAACAGCAGCCAGAACGATGCGGCTGTACCAAGAAGCTTCCAGATGTGAGTGGCTGTAACTGAAGGAGTGCGAAGACAAGGATCTTGGCAGAAACCTTCCCCAGATAAACACCTTAGTAAATGAGGTAGTTCCTTTACATTTATCAACTCTGTCTGTGATTATTACGAAAAACAAATCCACTAGGAGATTCTTACCTCTAGCATACAGGTAAACAGTCACTGCGTTTGACTCTGCTTTGGCCCCGGTGTTGTACCAGACCCCATGTGGGTCCTGCCCCCACGCCTCAGCATTACACGTGTACATGCCCTGGTCCTCCATCGTAGCCATGTGGACCCTCAGTCTGTAGGTGACAGCTGACAGGCGGTCGATGCTGATCTCACTGCCGTTGGTATAGATATTTACAATACCATTGTAATTCATAGTGGCTATCACTGTACGTTTTTCGGCAATGGGTGGGTCGAGTGGAATGACATCAGATGCCTTCTTGACAACCGGTTCAGGGATTGGCCACCGCAGGAACTCCACCTGAGCCTGGGCGGGGCCTGTGGTCCTCACGGTGGCGTTGCAGATTAAGGTGACCGTGCTGCCTTTTTTGAGCAGAGGGCCAGGAGGGAGCTGAGCCACAGCTGAAACCAAAACATCTGCAGAAGAAAGTGAACATTTAAAAGACAGTTCAAAGAAAGTAAGGTAAACATATATGACAGTAAAAAAAAACAAAACATATGATTTTGGTCTGCGGTAAAACAGGCGTTTCAAATGTCGAAACAATGAAATAACCGATGCTTAACTAACATGCATTTCAGATTAACATGAAGAGAATCAAACCAGATTTGAGATTTGGAAGTCTGCCCCAAGAAGGAAACAACTGAAGAAAACCACACAAGCTTATAAACTTTTGATTTCAGTAAAAGCATTGTTCATAATATACAAAGTAAAACACGTCAACATAAATCTATTTAAGATTTTGAGGAGAGCCTTGAATATTTTTGAAAATTTATTAGAAACCTGGAGACATATCAGTCAAGCTGGAACAGAAATTTGGCTGTACTGTTGCAGAGTTCAACACAGCACACTGTAGCCAAATGGCTCATGTCCCAGACCTCCAGGCCACCAAGACACTCAATAAATCCAAAACTTTAAATCATTTCTCAGACCAAAACAATACAGCAGTTCCTGAACAGTCAATGTAGTCAACAGCGAAAAGACGAAGACTGAGAGTCTAGCGGCTCTGTGAGTCTGAACTTGGGCACAAGGGTTCTTTGAGTTTAACGCTTACATCAACGTGAATTTAACTTTAGCTTAGATGACAGCAACAAATAAAAACTACAGGATCATTAAAGTGATTACAAAGTACCCTGTGGAGACATGAGTGTGTGAAATCTCAAGACACTCAATTCTGATGGACTGACACAAAACAATGGTAAACCAGGTTGAAAAATGAATGTGTGCACGTTTCATGATCACCTACAATGTTTCAGTCTGCTGCAAAGTGGTGAACACTGCCATCCCTACAGCCCAGTCGCTAACGGGTTAAAATTACTTTAGATTAGTCAACAACTGCTTTCTAGATATTTTTCTATGCAATCCAGAAATTGTACAGAATTTCTAGATGCTCCATTTCAAGATGTAGGCATTTTTCACATAGTATAAAAACAAAAATCAACAAATTATTTGAATTTACCAAACCCTAATTTAAATACATTTTGATCTACTTTTTCAATTTTCATTATTGTATTATTACTGTTTTTATTTCTTGTGTGAAGCACTTTGTCTACACTCACCGGCTTTGTATTTAGTTTATGTTTTCCTTTAGGTTTGTGATTGTACACACGGTATTTACACCTAGAAATGCAGACTTCTTGTGAAAAACGGAGTGCACCTACGTGTGCTGTTTTTTCCGCTCATAGAAAAGATTGCACAAGAAAAAAATCACTCATCTTGGACAAATCTGACATTAGAACGTCCTAGTTTACTCTTTTTAAAGTCGTTTTTTGTTGCCAACTGTATGAGCGCACCGTGGCCACCAAGCAGCAGCTACTGCAGCCTGCAATGTGGGGGCATTCAGGGAACATCAGTAAATTGTAGTGTCTATTGATAAGAAAATGTTCAGCAAGTCATATGGTTTGCCTTTGACAAGGTGGAAGGTGTGACCAGATGAGAGTTGGTTGCACCATTACTACCACTGAAAAAGTTAGTCTGGAGCCCTGTGTGGACTTCCGTATGGTGTGAGTGTTGTTCGGTAAATGACTACATATGCAGTGACGCAAGGCGTGGCTCTAACTTGGCTCCTTGCAAATGGAAAAGCAAACAGGTTCTTAGAAGGTGCGAGATTTGAACCAACTGGCACTCGCACCAGCAACGAACTAGCACCTGGTTCTTCTTGGTGGAAAAGGGTTTGAGTCTCACCTTTGGTCTTCAGGTTGACAGTGACTCCCTCGGATTTCTGGGTGAGTGTTGCAGGCGTAGACAGGCTGGGGTTTCTCCGTCCAGCATACACGCTCACCACACACCGATACACCCCTGAGTCAGAGGGCCGGGCCGAGAAGAGCTTCAGAGAGTGCTTCCCCTCTGCCACTTTCTCCATGGACCCACCACTGGCTCTGCTGAGGTCGTCCCCCCAGCTCACGGTGCCATCTGGGCTCATCCGGGCTACTTCAACCTTAACATACAATACATTTGTTATCGTACATATTAGGCTGTAAAATCATAAAAGGCAATCTATTTGACAGAACTATCTCTCCAACATTTTCATTTTCGCACAAAATATTACACATCTATCTGGAACTTCAGCTGAACCACCATGCAGAAGTAAAAATACACAAAACTTACGTATCTACATCTGCAAATAAGAGTTAGATTCACTACTAGTTACTTGTAAATTAAACATTTAATCTCTGTTTTATCACACTGTATACAAAGCAAACACACTAAGCTGCAACAGGCAAACAATAAACCATTGAAAATGACTGTACCTCCACTCCTCCGGTCCCGACTACATCGCTGCTGACAGATCCCCTTTTCATCCACTGAACCAGGAGACCTGAATTCACTTCAGACGGAAGCCCAAGCACCTCACAGGTCAGGATGAGAGGAGAGCCAACCTGCAGGGTCACCTCCCCTTTGGGCGAAGATGTCACACTCAGAGACTCGGCTGGAGAGAGGGAGAGACAGATGGAGAGAGCTTAATAAAAATTTAAGCACCAGAAATTTGTCCGGGGGAAGGCCGCAAACAAGCACTTAGACTGTGACAGTGAGCATCTTTGCAGGAAGTGAGATACCACTTCTCTGTGGCTGGAAAAGGAAGAAAGCTAGAGTGGTTTCTCTGGAACAATGCACAACAAAAAGCATTCGCACGCTAAGTAGAAAGTAAAAATCAAGCAAGCACAGCGCTAACAGTATACAACAAAAAGTAACACTGTAAGAGATCATTGATCATAATGAGATTATTTTGTATACTGTGCTATGGATTTTTTTTTTTAGATCAGTCAAATAAATCTCACGGATTGTGTGATGATTAAAGGGATTTGAAAGAGAGAAAAAAATACCTATTTTTGTGACACAAAGTGCCAAACTTTTTTTTAATCTTTGTTTTTTCACACAAATTCAGGCTTCTCAATAAATATCATTAGACAGAAATCATTAGTATCTATTGCAAACAGCAATCAATCATCAGCTCTCACATGCAGTTAAACAAGGAGTTCTGTTCAAAACAAAGTCTACAGTATATATGTACAGTAGACTTATACATAAACCAATCCACCTGTTGCAAGATACCACAATCACATTTCTTCTGCTCTAATTTTAGCAATGCACTCAACAGCAGAGAAATGCATGAACTGACAACATAATTATACCGTATGTATAAATAGAACTTCAGTCTACAAGCTGGCACATAAATGCATGTAAATACATTTAGTTTGTGATTTTCAGTTAAAATGAAATATCAAATTATAAAAACTCAGCACAAGTCAGTATGTGTAGCTTAAATAAACGTAAAATGTTTTTATTATCTCTGTGCATAATATTATTTATCATATGGACACAATGGACTATAATAGTTATAGTCCATTGTGTACACACAGCCTCATCTAACCACAGCACTTATCTAAACACAGATGCTTCTTGATAATAGACACATTATGTATTTAAACAAAAGGAGACACGTCAGACCATTGCATTAGTCAGACAACTGGGGCCACAAAACATGGAACTAACTAGTGCTTGTCAGTGAGTGTCTGTAAAAAGACAATGTGTGCATTGATAAGCTCAAGTGCCTCCCTTTCAGCTGCAGTTTTGTTTCACAAGAAAAAAAAAAAATAACCCAAATAGTTTTTAACTGTGTGGCTGTCCATACCTCTCCTCAGCAACAAATTAATTATAAAAAGGCATAAAAAGCATTTGTGCAAGATCAAAGGTTGATTGTTTAAAACCAACTCAGAATTTTAAGCTCAATCAGGATACAAAATTTATACTAAAACCTATATCAAAAGTTAAAGGGGCAGTAATATATTCATAGCATTGTCCTCTGAGCAAATATATTGAGTATGCTGTCTACACAGAGCACTTCTCATTCTGCTAGATTAAACAAGTCTTTGAGAAAGGATTGCTAAGCACAGCAGTACTGGAATGGACACATCAGTCTGACAGAATGATCACCATTTCCTTTCCGAGCTACAAAAGGCTGGAGTAGGAGAAAATATTACTTAACCCTTTCGACCTGCACAAGCGCTTTGAAATTTAAATTGAAGAGAGCATCAAGGCTATCCAGTAGCCCAGCCAGCCTGTTATTGACCTTTCAAATCCAGCTGGATAATCAACAGGAGGGCTGAGCATTTAGCAGTCAGTCAGGTTGTCTGACAGCTAAGGGTCCTGATTGACAGAAAATGAACTGGTAAGCCAAAGTGCAATTTTAAAAAAATGGGGAAGAAATTGGAAAAAGAAGATCTCAAATGTGAGAACTGGCAGTTTTTTGGCAGGTCTTGACGTATGGAGAAATGGTGAAAATTATTGGATTTTACAGCAAACAAGGCATTCAAATAATACTGTCATGAGATTTTATCACAGGAAAATATTGGCAAAGAATGAAAATAGTCTTTAGTTGCATCACTAATAGTAAGATAATAAAGCAATCTATGCAGCCAGAGAGCAAACAGTTAAACAGGCGCCACCTAGATATCCAAACAACTAATCAGACAAAAACTGCAACACTTGCTGTCAACAAACAGCTAACAAACAAGGCAACAAGCTGAATACAAATGTGAACTCAGCTATTTAATCAGGCACCATTCATCTAGTCAGAAAACTGGTCAGCCAGCAAACTAGACATTGAAGCAGTTAAGTCACTCAAACATTCACAGCCTGAAATCTGGATGGATTCCAAGACACTCAGCAGATCTACAAGTCCAGGCCGACTGACACTGCTGCCTTGGCAACATCAGAGAAACAATACAGAGCCTTGTACTGACAAGTAGAAACCAAACTTCTAATGTTTGGCTGTTATTCTATCAGATTGATTCCGTCATTTATTTTATATCATCTTTAGCCAATCAGGTTGACTTTTTCAAAACTGTACTACCTGCTGAAAGGTTTCATTACTAACATCATCATCTACCATTGTACAATGTGCTTGGTGTGACCTTGGAACTTGCCACATGCCATCACAGCTTAGCCACAGTTTCATAGTTACACTGACCTAGTTGCTGAACAGTCAGGTTGCCAATATCCAGCGTTCTCTGTGCAATCTTCTGCCACGATCGATCAGGATCCAAAATCCACTGTGAGGCCTCACAGAAATATGAGCCGGTGTCGTCGGGCTGCACCGCCCTCATCCTCATCACGTACACGCCCTGCCCGCCCTCCCCGTTCCTCTTTTCCAGCGTGATCTCTCCATCATCGTAGCGCTTCTTGTAGAAACGTCCGGGCACGACCCCGAGGAGCTTGTCAATGGAGATAATCTCTCTGATGGTGCTGACCTCCCCTCCGGGTCCCCCCGCCGACCCGTCTCCACCATCACGCTTCCCAAATGTGATGGACAGATGGGTGAGCTGCTCTGATTGGATGCTGGCGGAGCACGTCAGGGTTAATTCAGCCCCCTCCGGCAGGGGCTGGCCGGTGAGTGCTCGGGAGTAACTGATCTGGAGCGTGTCAGGGATCACTGTGCACAGAGACATAGACAGACAATTATATTAGATCGAGCTGCTGCAGGAGGCAGGGGGAAGGAAAAAATATGCCAAATTTAATTTGTCTTGCCCGTGTGCTGTTAAGATGTATATGTTTGGAACACTAAAGCAAATAATAAAATGACACTGCTGAGAGAGACCCACGAGCCTTTTACCGCCCTTGGCTGTAGAAAGAAGCGATTAGCAAGCTATGACAATACTCAGCTGCAAATCTAACACCCAGCATCCTTCTAACATAAACTAAGTAGCAAACAAAGGAGAGGATTAACAGAAACAGAATTGGTAACCATATGGATGACGGACGATTGCCTAAATATTTTGGACAGCTTTGGCAGATGGATCTCAGCGTACAAGTATCAAGTTCATAGACAGAAAAGAGAAACAGAAAGGAATAGGCAGATTACAAACTCCAGATGGTGAGTTTAAATAATAGCTTTGAATGCAGAATGTTGCCGTGCACCAAGTTAAACACGTAGCACAATTAATCAATGAAACATGTCATCCATCTGGTTGATGCAGTGTCGAGTTACAGATACAATCTCCTTGTACGCTAAATACCATCACAGAACCCGAATGCAGCAGTGAGCTTGTTTTTCATACATTACAGCTAAACTATGACTAGCATCTGGTTGGAACAAGGGCCGGGTAAAATTTGAAAACTTCTGACAGTAGCTGCTGACACAAGGTTTGTAGAACAAACACTAAAGCCAATCCAGTGTTGCAGCTGTACTTAAAGTGCTTCACATACTCAACAGTGCCTGGGATTTGGGCGATTTTTTTTTCATTCATTTTGCTTCTTTACATTAAGAATTTAAAAATATATGTACAAAGATTTTGCGTTCATATTTTTGCAATGGCACTTTGTTTTGTGTCACTGATCCCTAATAATCTCTTCGTGTTTTATTGATTTTATCAATTTTCATTGTATGTTCAGTTGTTGATATTATACGTTCTATGTACTGCTTAAATCGATGGCTACAAGAGTTTATTCATCTCAGCGAGGCCCTTTTTTTTTGATTTATAGATAAGTCTGGTGATGAAAAGATAAAAATCCAACATTGAATTGATCTGACTTAAGAGTATGATGTGTCTTATTCCTCCTAAATATTTGTAGTGTACCAAAGTCACAACTCGAAATAGACCAAACATATTCAGTATGTGTTGTGTTCAAGTAATGTTTGCTAACAACTACAATGCCCAGCCTCTTCGTCTTTTCATGTGATTTGTTGACAATCAGTATACTGATTGTATTATCCAATCCTATGCCTATAAAACTTAAAACAAACTCCTGTCTTACCTTTGACAGTCACTAGGTCGCTGTAATTCCCCTGGTAGGTGCTGTCCGTGCTGGGTGTGTAGCACTCATACTTTCCCTGGTCTTCAGCCCGAAGCCTCTGGACCATTAGTCTGACTTTGTCTCCTGAGTCCCTCTCCACCCTCACCTCCCCATTCCTCACCCGGACCTGGAACGGGGCATATGGGAACCCCTTGTCCCTGGTGGACACCACTCCCATCTGCCTTCCACCTGCATCATCCCTGTACAGGAACCACTCAAAGTCCTGTGTACGTGGGCCTTCGTATCCTGATACACTGCAGGGAAGGGAGAGGGGGAACCCAGCAACACGGTAGAGGGGTCCGACAGGAAGAGTTACATAGCGGCACAGAGCATACTGGAGCACTGTAAAAACAAAAAATAAGCAGAGACAGCAGGAACGTGAAAGATGTGCTGAGTGGGAAAGCATGGAAACAACAACAATGTCAATTTCTGACAGTCTTGCCTCGCAGCATGTTTAGTACATGGACTCACCGATCAATATCCTGAGCTGATGACTGGCTAACAGGGAATCAATGCACTAAATAGCTGTGGAGGAAAAAAAAACCAGGGCTGGGGCTCTGGGCCAGCTTTCTCAGAATACAATGACATGTTTAATGAATGAAATACAATCATGTCAGTAATCTAATTCTGTAATTACCTTCTTGCCTCGCAGCAAGAAGGTTGCCGGTTCACATCCCTGTGAGGACACTGGAATCTTTCTGTGTGGAGCCTGCATGTTCTACCCATACAGCGTGGGTTCTCTCCAGGTTCTCCGGCTTCCTCCCACAGTCCAAGAACATGTTGAGGTTAATTGGTGATTCTAAATTGTCCGTAGGTGTGAATGTGAGTGTGCTTGGTTGTCTGTCTCTAAGTGTGGCCCTGTGATAGACTGGTGACCTGTCCAGGGTGTCCCCTGCCTTCACCCTAAGTCAGCTGGGATAGACTCCAGCCCCCCATGACCCTAGTTAGGATTAAGTGGTGTATAGATAATGGATGAATGGACTTTTGTTGGGGGCCAACTATAAACACAGACTAATGGTGGCTGAGCTGCCATGCAAGGTGCTCGCCTGTCATCAGGAATAACTCGAGGTTCAATTTCCCTTCTGGGATGAATAAAGTATTTTTCATTCATTTCAGTATGTTTGCCCAAAGACACTTCAGAGTGTTGAGGGGGCCAGGAACTGAGCCACCAACCTTGCGATAAGTGTGCACATTCACTCCATGGCTAATTGTTTGGTCTATAAAATGTCTGAACTAATGAATAAATGGCCATTAGAATTTCTTAAAGCCTAAGGTGATGTCTTCAAATTGCAAACAACCTAAAACTGAAATGTGTTCTTTCAGACACAATAAAGCAGCAAGCTAAGCAACTCAGAAGTTCAAACTTGGTCATGTATGGAACTTTTCTTGGACAATGAAACCTAAGTACTTCCATTAGTCCAACAATCGCACATATACATTGAAGCAACTCAACAGTAACATCTTATTCCCAAACACAGTAACAGACATGTGATGTTTTGCAAAACAGAACAGTTCCTACCTTTTGCCATTAAAAGGAGGTAGTTGGTAGTTTTCCATGAAACAGTTCAAGGAATTAATGTGAGCAATTGTATTATATTTAGAAAAAAGATGTTATTGTTGCAAATGCAGTCAAAGCCAAAGGCCACTGAGCACATAGTAATGAAATGAGCTAACCCTGATATCTTTTCACTGCAAATCACACAGAAACTTGGTGAAAACACTTTTCTGAGTCCAAAAGGGAAAATAAACTCTATCCTCATTGTCTCACTGTTTAATGGAAGCCTGGCAACGTGGCAGATATTCAGTGTTCTGTTTATGATAGAAAATAATCAGTGTGAGAGCCTTAAGGCTGAGAGCAGCCAGCTTCCAGGTCCCAACATCACAATATTTCACAGTCGCACTGTCTGCCTTCATAACACAATCTTCTCCTGAAATCTTTCTGAAATAGTCACAGGCTCAGATCAATCTGGATTATTTCAGTACTGAAAATGTCTTCTGACCCAGGAACTGAAACTTCTCACGCCATGACTACCTTATTCTCTCAGGTTTAGCGTAGTTACATGTCGATACTGACTTTGTAAAAAGAAACAGGTCTGATTTTAAAAAGATAATGAAAGTCAGCTCTGCTCTGCTTCCTCTTATAAATAAAGAAGCAAAATCTAAGATGAAATTTATGGATGAAGATTTAATTCTATTTAGTACACTGCTTATTAAACTGACTATTTTCGGGGGGTTTCTGTTGGTCAAAAAAAATAAACAATTAAAACAGCTTGCAGTTGGATGAAATGCTGAAATTATAAAGTGTAAAGAGTATTTTTCTGTATTTTTAAGAAAATAATCAGCAAATATAACTGTTACTGCAACCATGACAATAACAAGAACAGATTTTTTTAAATTCTAAAAATGCTAAAACTAAATTTGAAAAAAATGTGTAAGTATAAGAAAGCCCTATACATTAGAAATATAAGATAAATTCGGAGCAAAAGAAAAAAACTGACTAGCTTACTAAAACTAATATCATCTCCATCATAAAATTCTTAACATTTAGTAGTTCATGTGGCCATCTGCATGAAGTCAGAGAGCTGATCTTCTAAATAAACTTATTCTATATTGTAGGGAAGAAATATATTTTTTTAAATTATTACATGCATCTTCAATATTGGGCTACAAGGTGGCTCAGCGATGAGCACCTCGCAGCAAGAAGGTCGCCGGTTCACATCCTGGTGAGGACACCGGGATCTTTCTGTGTGGAGTTTGCATGTTCTCACAGTGCAGCGTGGGTTCTCTCCAGGTTCTCCGGCTTCCTCCCACAAGGTCCAAAAACATGTTGAGGTTAATTGATGATTCTAAAATTGTCTGTAGGTGTGAATGTGAGTGTGCTTGGTTGTCTGTCTCTAAGTGTAGCCCTGCGATAAACCTTGGTTTAATACTTAATGTTTTCAATGTTCATGTGGTGCAAAAAGCAACAAACACGCCCACATAACAGACACTGAACAATGGATCACCACCATCGACTAACACGCAAAGTACGTCAGTAAAACTACCTGAAAAGTACCTGAACAACTCGAAATACTAGACAAGTGACACTCCCTGCCTCGGTGTGTGTGTATGTGTGTGTGAGTCCTAAAGACACAACTGGAGCTTTCTCACAGGCAAAGCATGGCCCAATAAAAAACACGCCCATAGATAATGACATGGGAGACGAGTGGGAGGCTTAAGCGGATCAAGTCCTAATTAACATTGGGCTCGGACTGATAGGGCTGGGGGACACCACGGCTAGTCACAATGCTCGTCACTGTCTGGATTAGACTCGGTGCAACAAGGGGGGGGGCCCTCATTTTCTAACCAGGACCCACAAAGAGATGCATGTTGGACCAGAGAACTCTGACTGATACTATCCTGCTCCAAAGAGGCCAGGCTCATTAATATTATTAATACTATTATTACTATTATTACTATTATTATTATTATTACTGTGAGCAGGAATGTATAAGCTGTCAACCACATGCATTCTCTCTCTATCTCTTTCTGTCCAAACTGTTTGGTCAAACTACACTGGTAAAGTATGAGTTCAAAAGTTTAAAGGCACAAAGTTAAAAAGAAGACTAATGCAGAAATACTTAAATGCAGCTGTGTGCTTTATTGCCTTCATCTGCTTCTGCATAGCTGGCTCTCGTGTCATGTTTTAGCCCGAAATATTACGCTTACTTTTCAGTATCTTGGATTTGTTGGGTTATGTTATGTCAATTAAATCTGCAAATACATTGACATCTCAATCTTAGCTGATGAAAAGATGACAGTAAGAAACTTTTAAGGCATAAAACAAGTTGTAAAAGCATGAAGATGACCATAGTCAAACCATAAAAAACTGACATTAATGAGAGTGAAATATATTAAGAGATTTTAAAAAAAACTGTCAGTGCCATAGAACAACTAGGATTTTTACAATTACGTAAATCTTGTTTCAAAAACCAAGTGATGCAAATATTTGTTTTTATGACTTCCTGGAAACCAAACCAGTAAAGAAAATAACCACCTGTACATCCAGTAAGTGTTTTTTCTTAGACAGTGGACTATTTCATCAGCTATTTCAACATTTAAATTGTAACAAATGATTTGCAGGCCACAGGATTGTGACAAATATACTGAGAGCTGTCCCACAGATTCAGCAAATCCTGCATAATAACGAAAAGACTGCAGATTGCATCACTAAAGTCAAGCTACCTGCAAATGAATAATGTGGTTGCTAACAATCATGCAAATGCATCTCCATGTGGCAGATGGCGGCTGTGCGCACAGAGAACAGGTACGACGTGGATAAACTCACCCCCGTGCAAAAATACGAATAGTACTGTTTTCATCGAAGCCATCATGGTCCTCATCTTCCCCCCTGATGTCCAGATGGATTACGTTGAGTCAGATTTCTCTGTTTACTGCCGATCATATTTCGTACCGCCGCGGAGAGACCAACTGCGCCCGGATTATTTCTGTTTGGTTTTTTGTTTTTTAATGGAGGAAAAGCAAAATGTTAACATACAACAATGTAGCAGAGGCAAACAGAGATTACAGTCAGGAGAGTTAGCGACATCAGCTAACTACGAGTCGAATGCATTTTAGAATAAATATTGCAAAGCTGCAGATTCAATCACCTTCTTCGTGCACCGTCGCGTCTCCATCGGCGCTACCGCTGCTCCACAATATGTCGGTTCGCTTTTTAGATCATAGCGCCTCGAGAAACACGCCGTCCGGTGCAACCGTGGAGCGGCTGCTGGCATCACAGGGGGTTGGGATGTATGTGTGTGTGTGTGTGTGTGTGTGTGTGTGTGTGTGTGTGTGTGTGTGTGAGATGAAAAGGGAGGAGCATGCATGCAAAACAAGCTTTGTGAAAAAAAACAAAAAAAACTGGTGCCATTGGTCAAGACAGCGACGGTGACATTTTGAACCAATGATAATAGAGAGTGTTGGAAAAGACGGTGAGGTGATGTAGAACCGCAGGAGGGCGCCAGAGGGACACACATGCAGCCAGACCTGAGGCCCGAACAGGTGGCTTCACGGCTCAGGGGAAGCTTCTCATGGAGAAGTGTGCAGGTGGGAAGTAGTTGAACTTCTGTGAAGGTCTAAAATGAAGAAATAATTTAAACAGGAAGAAACATGAATAACAGATTAATGTGAGTGAAATTTTAAAGTGCACACTTTTAAAATAGGAAGACAATTGGTGGTGCTGTTAAGGAAACTTAAGGTCTATCAACAGCAGGGACTTCCAGGTGAAACATACTGTGCATACGTGTAGATTATCTGGGAGCACTGTGACAATCTTGTCTTTTAACACCATGTAGCAAAAGTTGCTGAGGGACAAACTCAAGCACAAAGAGGTGGACCACCACCTCACTGCCTGGATCATGGACTACCTGTAACAGTATGTGTGCTTGTAGGACCTGTAAATGGTTGTCTGTAGTACAGGGGAACAGTCCTGGCTCTCACTCTCTAAGAACAGACTTCACATGTAGATCTGCTGGCTGTCACCTGTAAAAGTTCTCTGGTAATTCAGCAATTGTCAGTTTCATCACAGATGAGAAGGACAGGGACTGCAGAGAACTGACCCATGACTTTGTGGACACCAACAAATTGGTGAACTTTCACAGATGCAAGCACAATCACATCCGGGACATCCAGAGAATGGACATTTAGAACTTCTAAGTAGCTAGCAGTTCACCTAAATGACAAAGTGAACTGGTCTGACAATCCTATCTGTTAAAGAGACTCAAGTCTTTTGGAGAACAGGAAGCGCTCCTGAGGTTCTTTGTTGACTCTGTGGTGGCATCAGACATATTCTGTGTAGCTGTATCCTTGGGAAGCAGCATCTCTACAGCAGACAGGAAGAGACTCAACAAGCTGGTGAGGAAGGCCAGCTCTGTCTTGGGATCTCCCCTCGACCTGGAAAAAGTGGTGGGAAACTGCAGGATGATGGCTCAGTGATCATCCCTGTTGGAGAGCATGTCCCACCCTCTTGCAGGAGACTCTGACAGCACTGTGCAGCTCCTTTAGTGACGGACGGCTTCACCTGCAGTGTGTGATGGAGAGATACCGCAGTTTCTTCCTCCCTGCTGTCAGACTGTCAATCGACTCTGCTCCCAGTAGACCTCACACAGGAAAACTGGCATATTTTACTCCAGTGCAACATCAGTGCATTCAGAGTTGTGCATTGCATGAATGCGCATGAATATGAGTCTGTGCAATATCAGTACTTTTCTACATATAGAATAATTCTGTTCATTTCCACATTCAGCAGAATCTGTGCAATATCTGAATTTCTATATATGGAGGAATATGTACAGTATCAACAGAACAGAACGTATGCATATTGCTTGTTTATTTCCATGTTTTGACTGATGTACCTACATTTTTGTCACCTTCCTGCTTCTGCATTGCTCATTTTCCCACTGTGGGGTTAATCAAGGCTTTTCTTATCTTCTTACAATTAGTTCCTTTGTTTTCTTTTACATATGTGAAATTTCCACTGTGAATTGATGCAGATAAGACACAAATCGATGCATTACTATTCACCAAAATGCAGGAAATTAACAGTTTGGTGCTCAAATCTTCCCGGGGGAGGATATCTAGACCACTGCTTATTGTGCCCCCCAGCCAGAGATGATTAAGTGCATGACATCAATGACCAGAGAGAAGCTTTAACATACTGAGTCTGAAAAAGTTCCAAAATTTTGCAAATGCTTTTTACTTTTTGCTATTTAATATACTCTGTGGCAAAATCAGTTGCAAGGGAAAGGGTGAAAACTTTCAAAGTGATTTCTATTATGAAGGTATTGCTGCAGTTTCAAGCTTTTGATTTCAGCCTCTGGCATCATCCTGATCCTAATTGAGAAAACACTAATCAGCTGGTATTGATTAGCTGTGCTGTCTAGCACCGCTGAGCCCGATGTTGGTTAAAATCCAAAAGCAGTTACAGCAATGCCTCTGTTTTTTTTTTTAGGTCAGTAAATATCATGGAAACCAAATTGTATTCAAGTCAATGAGTATTCAAGTCTGATTGTATGTTTTGAAAAGTTCCAATCACAGTGAAAAAATCAAAACAGATTTTCCATAGTTACCCTCTAAGAAATATCTGTGTTTTAATGGTTATGTTATTGTATATTTTTACAGAAACTGTCAACAGTTTGCAATTCACAGGTGTATTTCCATTTATTTACATTTTAAAATTGCATTATGGGATCTTGATCTCTGCTCCAACAACTTTTGGTGTCCATTAGCATAAGCAACGCAAAATTAACTTTAATTTAACTCTGTATTTTAGTGGTTGTACATTTTACAGTTTAATTGCAAAGTTACTGTTTATTGGCATAGACTGTTTATTGGCAGTATTAATAGTTTTATTATGGACTGGTCATGTGTAACATAACGTTGTGAGTTTTCGTTGCACATCGTCAATGTTAGCTGATGTAGTGAGCTGGGGTTCATATCACCATTGTTATCAGTTGTTAACGAGCACTTAGTTTGGGAGATTGAACAAAAGACTTTTTACAGAAGTTCACAAAATGAGCAGCTTTTGGAGATAATTTTTTGTAGCATTTGGCCAATAACTTTTGAGGCAAACTCTGTCACAGATACAGTTCTTGTTTCTGTCAATCATGCTGTGAAGCTTTGTCCCTGACAATAAATAAAATGAAATGTTTTACATTGTTAGAATACCACAAAGTTAAAGTTTCACATTGTAATAACATTTTGTTGAGAAAAATGACTGAAATAAGCAGCAATTCGACAATGTTCAGACATATGTGTGATGGAAATGACTAAGTACACTTATTCAATTACCGTACTTTATTAACTGTATTTTCATCTTCTACTACAAACTTAGTTGCAAAAATTGTACTTAAGTTTAATAATGCAAAATGTAATCAACACATAAATTATAACGTAGTATTATAGATTGAGATTTTTTAAAATGATTAATCCCAGAGGGAAATTAAAATGTTAGCCAGCAGATTTAAAGTAGTAGAATTACCCTTATCTGCTTGAAGATTTTATACATTAATGCAATAATCATAATAATCCGATGGAATGTATCATAATAAGCATACCTGTCTGCATGAGGAGTACTCTTACTTTAATTTTTATGCTTATGCTTTTGTACTTTTTGTCTAGTATTAATTTAAACTCATGACTTTTACTTGTAACCAAGTATTTGTACACTGTAGTACCCTTGTTGATTTACATTAGAGTAAGATGTGACCTTTTGCTGTAATCAGCAAATGTAAATGTTGCTTTGCTTTGCACAACATAATTTGTTTTTTGTTTTTTTAATATTTACTCTAATTGTTGCTTAAGGTTCATGTGTGCGAAATGGATTGCTTTTGTTGTTGCTGTTGTTTTACACTTGAGGGAATTTCACAAACAAGGTTTTCAGTCCTTGCATTTAAGATCCTCTGCAGTTTCTTTTATAGATTACATTAAAATGTTACTATTACTATATTTACTTTTATCAAATAAATAGCTGTTTATAAGTAACTGTAGATGGTCAGTTAAGAAGGAAGAATAGATCAGAGCTTGGACTAAGAGGTGAGAGCCCTTTTTCCAATGGAGACCCCGTGGCTTCCTCCACCACCAGGAGGCAGCTTGGACAAATGGTGAGCTGGTGTAAAAAAAAAACAAAAAAAAAACACAGTTGAACTTAGCCTAAGACAGTTTCCATGGTAACGCTCAGTAAAACCTGCTGACCAGCACAAAATAACAAAATGGGTAAAACTGCAGACTGAGCACGGCTCACCATGACTACAAAAATGAAACAATTGAAAAAAATCTAAAAGGTTAGATGAACAATTAAAATATGTCAGTGTTTACCAATCCAAAAAATGACAAATGAAAAAAGACAAAATTGTTTCAAGAAAATAATTTAAAAATGAAACAAATATGGTCAGTTTTAGCTATGTTGGGGAACTTGCAAGCCAGACACAAACTGGCATTTCATTTGGAAGCAGAAAAACAGAAGAAATGGGGGGGAAATGAAATAAAATAACAAGAAGAAGAAAAGTGAAAAAAAAAAGCAGAAAAAAAAATGCACTGTGTGAATTTTCATTTGACAAACAGCATCATTCCAAGCTTGTATGTAATTTTACCAATTAAAATTAGTATAGAATTATTTTCATTTGGTTGGAACATGCAAATAAGAAGACACTGCATCATGTTTTGCATTATAAGTGCCATGTTTGTCTATAATAAGGGAGTCTGGGCGTCTTGGAGTGAGCTACAAGCTACACTTTCAGATTTTTTTGTCTTTTTTTTTTTGGGGCCCATTTGTTCACTACTAATAACTACCACACAGAAACATGACGGATAAAATACAAACTGTCAGTCATCTCTTTTTACTGGGCTCTAGGTATAATTGCTGGTACATTTCTGTTTCTGACCTGAAACCAAAATGGCAGGTCTTGGTGTCAGCAGCGCTCATCGGGCTTATTATTGAAATCAATAACAGGCTTGTAAATTACAGAAGACTGCTGGGAACGAGAGAAGTAGTCGTACCACCTACACAGAATGTTTTTTTTACAGCTGTACACTATGTTCCCTCCAGTACAGACTGTAAGGGTGTTGAACTTCTGCTTATTATAACCTTTCCGCTTATCTGCATCAATACACCTTAAACATGTGATGCATCCATGTGACACCAGCGTTTTAGTTCTGCAATGTACATGCTCACATGCACAGATGTGGCCAAACGTGTT